GGTTACTACAAATATGCTGGTACAATGTATGTGTTTATATGGGTGTGGGCATCTGAATGAACCCAGATACAAAGATCCAAAATATAAATCTAGAAGTCTAACAAAAACAATCATAATTGGCAATAAAATACTGCAAGATGTTCACCATGCCACCACCTTCCAGTATGAGTAATGACAGAAATAAGCTCAGTGAGTTTCTTACCTCTCAACAGTATCAGTAAAAGTGTCTCTGACAACAGAATCTGAGAAGAAAAAGCTACCATCCTCTAGTTGAAGCTGACTCTCAAAGGCATAGTAAGGAATCAAGAGTAGAGAGTCTAAGCAAACCAACTGAATCAATCACAAAACACATAGTATCTAGATTTATGAATTTGTTTGTACTAATAATGAACATGAATATGGATTAGTTAAAAGCCAATAAAAACACCTTTTCAGACAAACTGCCCGCCTAGTTCGTACCATTGCTCCAACGGCAAGAAGATCATTGATATTCTGAAGAAAAGAAAGAATAAAGGAATCTAACCAAAGTTCAACTTCTATTGCAAGTAGCAATGACTTGCAATTTTCCCTGAAAAGGCCCAAAGTTTGAGGACAGAATGCAGAGAAAAGTGCCTTGGAAGCAGGAGCTAATGCTTAATATGCAGCAAGACATAGTGCAGCTTCAGTCTGATTTTAAGTAATCATATCAGTCAGTGAAACATTATAACAAATTATTACAAGTGAGGATAAAATGTCAAAAAAAAAAAGATCATATTTTGCAATAGACCAAAAACTTACCTCAGAGTTACAAGTCGGAGATGCAACAGAATTGCAGAAGAATTTCCACACAAAAGTAGAGGGAGAAACTTAATAGAATGCCGCTTCTATGTTGTACACACCAGGCATAGATACATGCAACAGCTTTAACAGAGATTATATGTTCATACACATGAAATTGACACAAGGCCTTCAAATTCAATAAAATAAAGGAATAGACAGCAACAAAATAATATATTTATAAATGAGAAATGGAGAAATGGAGAGCGAAAGAAGTTAACGACAACACCTTATGCAATCATTTCAAAAGATTTCTATGAAAAGTCTAGCAAGGAGGATTCATTTAATAAATATTCAAATGATCTTTCTTGGGGTCGAAGGGGGTGAGGCATATTAATGTGCTTGACAACACAAGCTTCTAAAATAGTTCTAAAAAAGAAATCAATTAATGAAACTAAGAATAGAATGTAACATACAGTTTGTAAGACAGCAGTTGTCAAAGAATTTGATAATCGTTGTTGACTAGGACCTTCAAGTTTTCCTCTTACAGAGCTAGGCAGAATCTTGTCCTCCATGTCAGAATCAGATGGAAATGTGGAACAAGACAAGTTGGCTAAGGAAACGACTTCCTCCTGCAAGCCAGACAACACATCTATGTACATCTCTCATAATAAAAAATTATATGCAATGCTCATCATTTGATAAATAACTTAGGAAGGCACAAATACCAATTACAGATTTGGCTTGAATGTTTTGCAAATGTTTGAAGCTTCTGCATCACTTGATTGCTTCTCTGTCTCCAGCAAGCCAATTTCAAATTTGGCTTGAATTTTGACACCACGTTTAGGAGTTCTGCTTTGCATCACCTGGATCTCTTCAATCAAGCGCAATATAAGGTGAGAAACTTCACAGTTATCCATTCTGAATGTTTATTTTGTTTACAAATATTTGTTTCATGATTGCAAAATCCAACATAAACAAAATGTAAAACTCCTATTGGGCAAAACGATCAAATAACATTTGGAAAGGAATGCCAGCATCTACAGCTAAACTAAAACCAAAACAGATATCTGTGCAAATAATTCATCAAGTAGTCAACCTGCAGAAAAATTTCCATGGAAAACATAAGCGATGAAGCTCTTCAACTAGACAAAATGCAGCAACTAAGAATCCAAACGGTCAACAAAGCACAGACATTATGGAAGAGAATAACACCAACATCCTAACAGGATTAAAAAAATGAACATATAAAGGGTGAAGTTGAAGGCAAACCGTTACTAAAGGTACTACAAAGAAGGTACTAACTGCGGTACCCTTTTTTTTTTTTAAATACATTTTTTGTTACATCTACCAATAAAATAATGTTAATGGAATCTCAAATTTTTGACCAAAATTTTATTATAAAATATGTGACTAAGTCAAAGTTATTTTTTATATTTAATTAAGCAAAATTTTTACAATAATATTTACATTAATAACAACGGTTTAAAACTAATATGATTTACAGCCTTACTATAACTATAGGCCAGAACTGTTTGATTATTCAATATATTTTCATATAAACAAATTAGATTAAAATCCTACAACAATCCTTATATTTTCTTAAATTTCTAAAAATAAGTTTTTAACTTTTTACTGTTTTTAATCAGGCCTTTAAATTATTATTATTTTTATTTAATTAAATTGTTATGTTGCATTAAAATTACTAAAATCTGTTAGACAAATATGAGTTTATTTTTAAAAAATACTTAAAAATAAATAGATAAAAATAATATTTTAAAGATGTAATTAAAAAAAGGAAAAAAAAATATTAAACCGTTACTATCCAACATACCCCTAGTCACTGATTTATTGCATCTTTAAAAGATTGCATTTTCTTTTCCTTTTCACTCAGACCTTTAAAACAAAATTGATAAGAAAATTACGCTGACTCAAATCCGTTAGCATATATCGAGGTCGAGATCAATCCAATTTAATCGAACTTCCACTAATATAAATTAATTAAAAATTTGAGATTAAGTAAATTTTAATTTAATATGACTTTGAGGTCATTTATATTAAATTGAAAGATTCTTCTTTGATTGATTTAAATTTAATTTTTAGGTTATTAATATTATTTTAAGTATTCGAGTAACGAGAAACTACTAAAATGTAAAAGTAAAAAAAAACAAATATATTTGGAACAATTTGCTCCGACTTGGGCCTGGGGAGCTTCCGAGATCAAAGCCCGCCATCATGTGAGCTCCAACAGTTGACACTGTTGAACCATGTGATGGAGATAATGTGGCAGTGAAATGTATCAATCTTCAAGCCCAGAATCAAATCTGCAGAAACTGAAGGAAAGGAACATTCTGACATGCTAGAAAGAAAATTTTCGGAAGTTATGTTTCCTCACCATGGTGGCACAAATGGTGCTATCCAAATTACATCACCTGCTTGAACCGGATACCTATTAACAATAGAAAAAGGAGCTAAGATGTGAAAATGAGCTTTATGGCAGATACTAGTGTAAACAACCCCATCTTCTGATTCTTCACTCCTACAAAAATGGCGGAACAGAATCCTCCATCACCCAACACTGGAATAAACAAACCTGAGAAAGCAAAGGAAAGAGAAAACAAAACCAAACCAATAAAAACATTTGGATTATTAAGTTAATAGTAGAGAAAATATGAAGGGAAGAAAGAAAGTTTGCGCTTTTTTTGTTCCTTTTTTTTTTTTTTATAAACAATTTTTATATAAAATTTTAGCCGAAAATTTCTTTTGCGGTGATAAATTGAAAATGAAAGCCCATTTCGTTTTGGGCTTCTTCACCAAAAAACTTACCCAAACCCATTTACATAAACACATGATTGAGACAATCGTTTAAGCTAATTCCCTCTCTCAAATGGAGCATCTTCTCTCTGTTTCAGAGAGTTTAGCTTTGGAATAATCTTGTTGAGGCTAGGTGGAAGGGTGCATTGAACCACTTACGAGAAGAAAATGGGCAGGATTAAAAGCTGAGTTTTGTTGTTTGATATGTAAGATGAAAAGTTTAGGAAGATGAAGTTGCCTGAGAGTTTGGTTGATGTGATTCCCATGAAGTTGTCCATTTCAGTGACTAGGGATATGCTAACAGTGTTCGAGTATTACTTTACAGAAGCAAAGAATAGGTATTGTAATAGTTGGGTGAGGACACAGTACGCAGATGTGAAGTCTTGGAGTAAGTTGTATACTATAGATTTTCTAGGAGGAGGAAAGGTTTTTGGTTTGACTGAAAATGGTTAGCTCTTATTGGCAAAGGCTGAGGGTGGTGGAGGGTTGGAGAGTTTTGAGGAGTTTTAAGATCGATGGGAAACGGAAGTAATTAATTACAATTCTTTTGCTTTACCGTTTTAAAGAATTTTGTTACTTAGTCAAATGCTCCTGCCTTGTTTTTGCAGCCTCAGTTTTATCCCTCTGTCAGCCCAGAATCAGGGTATGGAATTATTGCCAATCATGTTTTGTGGTTTGTTTCATCTATCTTGAAAATTTCATGGATCACCATGTTTTCTGCTTGCTTAACCTTCATACCTCTATGCTTTGACTTGATTCCAAAGTGCTATGCATTAAGCACTAAAAACCATCAGACCACACTATATATTTTAACATTTGAGAAATTTATTCAATGAATTTAATTTTTCATTTAATACTTTAGTGTTTTACAAAATAAAATGATTTTAACTTCATAGCCTATGGTCTATAAGGCCTTCAATGTAGAGGTAAAAAGCTAAGCTGAGGCCTCCTCAGCTTGAAGTCCCTGCACCCTTATTTGTTGAAATCCCTCCTCAGCTTCAAGTTTATCAAATACGTATGCTTAAACAAATACATATGCTTTAGTTTTAAAAAAGAATATATGGTTTGAATTAATTACGATTTAAGTATAATTTTATTACAATTAGTTAATTGTTTAATAAAATAATTGATTTTAAATTAAAAAAATCAAATAAAGTGATATATTTATTTTTATTTATTATCGAACACATAATACTTCATATATGAATTTAATTAAAATGATTTATAAAAGTAAATAATAATAAAAAATATAATTAATGTAATTTTTCACAAATTCATCATATATCAACCTTTAAAAAGTTTCTATTAATGCAAATTATTATAACAAAAAATTTGACAATAAAATATAATAAAAACTTTGACTTAGTCAAACATTTTACAATAAAATTTTGACTTTGTCAAATATTTAAGATTCTATTAACATTGCTTTAATGGTCGATGTAATAAATAATCGTATTTAGAAAAAAAAAAGGGGCGCAGAATTAGGGTTTGGGTTTACTAAAAGTAAGGCGGTTTATCATAATTCCTAACATGTAGCCGTTAGCATAGAAGCACATCTTCTTCCCGTTGAAATCTGGAGAGTGAGAGTTGAAGAGAGAAAACAGAGTTTCCCTTTTCACTTTCTCTGATTTTCTTAGCAAAGATGAGTGGAACGGAGGACAATCCAATGGTTGCCACCCTTATATCTTCACTCTCAAACAGCCTTCTACAAGTTCCTCCATCAGCCATTCCACCCATGTTGGATTGCATCTTAGCCTCCACTACCTTATATCCGTCGTCTCTTTTCTCTTCTCTTCTCGACGATCTCCCCAATCTCATCGAGGTAAGACTTCTTCTACCCTACAAAAACCATAATTGGCAAATTGCAAATTACTTTTTTTTTAAATTTTATGTAAAAGGAATATTGAGTTCTTATCCTTTTCTGTTTATAATTTTGACTGCAATTTAATGCAATTTTGTTTTGAATAGGATGCTAACAGGAATGGGAATCTGGATTCCGATCATCGTACCCAAATTGCATCAATGGTTGGAGCATTATGCCATCTTCTTTCTAAAGCGAGTGAGTTATTTTTCCTCTTGATAGTTTCCAAAATTAAAGTTAAAATCTAGGGTTTCAGTCTTTGTTTCTACTTTATAGTACATTGCTAAGAGACTATAGTGGCAAAAATAATGGACAGCTCTGGTAATTTTTGAGATTAGTAGTTTAAAATTATTTGGGTTTGATCGGTTAAGGTGAATTCTAAACAGATTTTCTGTTCTTGCTTTTTGGATGAATCAAAATTTATTTATGGAGCGCATTGCTAATAGTAATTTTATGCAGAGACTAATCATGAAGGTCTGCAGTATTTTTTATGGAAAGGTTTTATTCCACTGATGAAAATGGGACATGAATTTGACCGTGAGCTTCTTAACCAGGTAGAATAGTTGGGTTCTTTTATGTAGCTTATATTTACTTTTTTTTTTCTTTGTGTACATCTTATAACATGTATTTACTTCTTGCGTTCTTTCTAGTTTGGTTCAATGTGTGATGTTTGATATTAGATTGCAGATTCTGTCTTTGATGTTGTGCAAAAGACTAATGCCTGGGAAGTTTTGGAAGCAACTTTGGTGCCTTTTTTTCTAAGATCAATTGGCGTTTCTGCTGGTATAATTCAAAATGAAGAATTGGATGGTACAAGATGGTATAGAAGCTCAGTTTTCCAGGTCTCAAATGACTTTGTAAAAAATTGGGATACAAACAAGGATTATATGCTTTCTCTATCTGGATCTTTTCCATTGCCACTATCATGCCATGTTTTAAGCTTAATTTTGGATGCTGGACTTCGAACTTTTCAAGTTTCTCCAGCCACGCCCGTAGTTTTGGAAAATGGGTGCTGTCATGCTGAGAAGGTCACTGCTGATTTACTTTGGAATTTGTGTAATGTGACTGAAAGATTGAATTTACAGAGTTTGGAAAACCGGTCTTGTACAATTGGCTTTCTACTGCCTTTCATTTTCAAAGCATTTGTTTTTCGTAGCTCTTTTAAAATCTCAGTTCATGAGCAGACACATATCCTTTCCAGGTATATGGTTTCATGCAAATTGTGTTTGTTATTAATATTCTTTTTACCTATTTAGAATGAATCTGACTCCTATACATATATGTATGTATATGTATATGTATATGTATATGTATTTTCTATTCACTAAATCTGGTTGGCTTCCAGGAATCATTTCTTTATGAGAATGTGGACATGCTGTAAAATATTGTTCTCTCTTGGATCATTAGAGAGGAGAGATGCATACAGTATACTCTCCCTGTATTTTTCTTACTTCTCTTGCACTGAAACTTCTGAAAACACTGACATGAGTGATGGAGCAGAAGAATTTGATATAAGAAGTGAAAAGGAACTTTGGATTGAAATCAAAAGAGGATTGGTACTTGACCCAAACTTTTCCCCTCTTCTTGTTGATCTATGTTTATCTAGTAACTATAGACTATAGTTAACTGCCTTTACTTCTTTTTTGTTATTATTTCTTTATTGGTGGTATGACAGGTTGATGAGGTGGGCCTAGTGAGGAAGCAGTCATTGCATATATTGAAGACAGTTTTATGCATGAGTAGTGGAAACCAAAGCCATTCTGGTATTTCTGAGAAGAAATCCCAAGGGAAACGTTCAGTTCCTCATGGCATGACGAAGAGAGAGCTGTGGGCTAATAATGAAGCAAAGTCACTAGGAGTAGGGAAACTTTGCAACTCAGTTGATTCAGGGTTGAACAGTCAGCAGCAGTGGGAGGCTTTCTTGCTCTTATTTGAAATGCTTGAAGAGTATGGTACTCACCTTGTAGAAGCTGCTTGGAATCATCAGGTACCAGATAAAATCTGCTCTTGTGACAAAATATGGTTTGAGTTGGTTTCATTAGATAGACCTTTGTTCACCTGTGTTTACATTGATAGAGTAGAAACCTATGATAATGACAGAAGGATGCTGTTGGGGAGTTTTTATTTGGACTAATTAGCAAAGGTAATTTATTGGATAAGCTATCAATAACTTTAGAAGCAGATAAATAATGCAGCTCGGAAATGTAAAGAATGAAGAAAATAGTTACAAGTTGTCAATTTAAGCTCTGCCGAGGTCCTTTTATCAAGGACAACCCAATGTGAACTATTGTGCATAATGCTTGAATTTGAGAATCTTTAGGCATCCTGGATGTATAGCAAATGTTTGAAGAAATATTTTATCTAATCAGAAAAAAATTGTATTACTTTCATGGTCCTTTTAGGATTCTTTAATTACTTGTAGCATATCTGTAAGGTTTGTGCAATTCTCTTTATCTGAATTGGCTCAAAATTTCTTTCTCAGAGAATATTTGATGAAAAACTGTTGACATGCCTGTATGCCTTTAGTCGACTTGTTATTACTTGGAAGGGTTATCTAAGCAATCAATCAACTTACTTTTTTTTTTTTGTAGTTATGGTCAGCTTTTGACTTGAATGGCATGTGTATTTCTTTGTTCTCTAATGTCTTATGCTCCAGTTCCTTGCTGTCAAATTAGAAGAAACCTATATTTGCTGATGCTAAAGAAGATACCTTATTTTATCTTATCTATTGTCTTTAAATATTCATTCCTTTCTTTTTTGTGGGATGCAAAACTTTATTAGAACCTCAGTTCTACTGTGCCTACCTGCTTAATTGTTATGATTTCTTGCAGATAACTCTGTTGCTTCAGTTTTCTGTCTCACATGATAACTTTGTGAGTGCTATTAGCAGAGGTATTCATCAAAATCAGTCAGAAACTTGGGATGAAGTCTTTAGCTGGTTATCAATTTTGTGGAAGCGAGGCTTTTTTCATGATAACCCTCAAGGTATTGATGTCTTGCTACCATGATCTTAATTAGGGATATGTAAATTTATGATTTATCATAAACTTTGTGCTAAATGTTTGTGCTCTCGTTCTGTTCGGCAAAATGCAGTAAGATGCATGATCATGCAGTCATTTTTGGGTATTGAATGGACAAAATACGGAAGCTGTGCAAAGTCAGTACCCAAAAGTTTTATTCTTGGTCCATTGATGGAAGCTTTGAATGATCCGGTGCACCACAATGATTTTGGTTTGTCTTGAATCTGAATGCTTCCTTACTGAATTTTCTAGTAAACAATATTTTATGCTATCATATTACCAGTTGGAGTTAAAGAAGTAGATTATAGGAGATAAATCTTACAATTCAGTCACTTTTTCATGCTTTCCCCTGGCTCTTCTTTCTCAGTTTATTTGTGATCTAGGATTCAATAACGGTGCAGTTGTGGTATAGTGGCCGCTATTTTACGGTAGTGCCATCACTCGCCACCGTTATTTGAAAAATATCGGGTGAGAATTTGAATCTCATTGATAACGGAGTGTCGCAGCCGTGAAAAAATGATGTAGTGGTGAATAGCAGTAATGATGTAGTGGTGAATAGCAGTCTTAACGGACCGTTATTGCCGCTGCTCCATTTTTATGTAAGAAAACCAGAATAAAAAAAAATTGGCAGCTCTCAAAAAAACTTTAATTTGACATCAACCTCAATGCAGCCCCAAACAAACTCATATTTAATCTCAAATCAATCATCAATCCATCACAATCAACAGTTCAACACAAGTAATTAACTTTGTAAAAAAAATTGCAAATTTCTGTTTAATTTTAATGGGACTGAACCGATCGGTGAAGTTAGCCTCTCCGTCTTATATCTTCTGCTGAGTGGGGACTCTGACTCTAACGGTGAGGGATTGGGGCTCAGCCATCAGGGTGGGCCATTGGGTGGTGGTGGAGGTGAGTTTTCTTGGTTGAGAATTAGGATTTGGGATAAGGAAGAAAATCAGAGCCTAAGCAGAAGCCTGATGGATGTCGCCATGACTGAGTCGCCTAATCGATAGGGCCGTATCTGTGGGAGGGGGAAGCTTCTGTTTTGGACTTTTGGGTTGAGTTTGAGAGTTGAGAGAGTGCACATTGAAAACTGTGAAAAAAATTAAGAAATGAAATTGTGTGAAAAACTAAGAGAAAAAACTGAATGTATATTGAAAAACTGCTCATTTTTAATTATACAAGAATCTTAGGTTTATATACAACTAACTAGGGTTTAAACTAGGAAACTAAATCTTCCTTAATTCTAGGAATACAAATACTTAATTCTAGAGATACAAATATAAATATACAGATTACAAGATTACAACCAGCTGTAAATAAGTGTTTTCCTACACTCTCCCTCAAGCTGGTGAATAGGTGTTTTCCATTCTCAGCTTGGAAATAATTTCTTGAAATGTTGCACTGCTGAGACCTTTAGTCAACACATCTACAAGTTGACCCTTGGTTGATACATAAGGTGTACAAATCAACCCACTGTCTAGTTTCTCTTTTATGAAATGCCGGTTTACTTCAATGTGTTTTGTTCTGTCATGTTGCATAGGATTGTGTGCAATGCTTATTGCAGACTTGTTATCATAGTAGAGTTTTATTGGTCCATCCCACTTGATCTTCAAGTCTTCTAGGATAATCTTTAACCATAGTAGTTCACAAATTCCTTGAGCCATTGCTCTGAACTCCGCTTCAGCACTTGATCTTGCCACCGCATTCTGTTTTTTACTCCTCCAAGTCACAAGATTACCACCTAAGAAAGTGCAGTAGCCTGAGGTGGATCTTCTATCAGTGACTGAACCTGCATAATCAGCATCTGTATATGCTTCTAGAACTAACCCGGAATTTCTTTTGAATAAGATACCTCTCCTAGGATTGGCCTTCAAATAGTGCAATATACGGTAGACAGCCAGTAGGTGCACTTCTTTAGTACTATGCATAAATTGACTTACCACACTCACAGCATATGCTATATCAGGTCTAGTATGTGAGAGATAAATGAGTCTTCCAACTAATCTTTAGTACATTTCTCTATTTACAGCAGCATCTTCATTAGCTTCTCCAATTTTATGATTAGGATCTATAGGGGTATTTGCAGGTTTACATGCAAGCTTCCCAGTTTCCTTCAGAAGATCCATCACATATTTCTGTTGTGAGATAAAAATACCATGCCATGAGTGAGATACTTCAATTCCTAGGAAGTACTTCAATCTCCCTAGCTCTTTTATCTCAAATTCTCTAGCCAAACACTGTTTAGAGATTCTCTCTCTTTTTCATCATCTCCAGTTACAATTATATCATCAACATACACTAATAGAACTGTGACTCTCCCTGAATCAGAGTGCTTGATAAACAATGTGTGATCTCCTTGACTCTGTTTATATCCCATTGCTAGCATGACTTTGGCAAATCTCCCGAACCAAGCTCTAGGAGACTGTTTAAGGCCATATAAAGCCTTTTTTAGCCTGCATACTTTGTTTGCTTCTAGATGACCTCCAAATCCCGGTGGAACCTTCATATATATTTCTTCTTCCAAATCACCATGTAAAAAAACATTCTTTACATCAAATTGTTGAAGCTGCCAATTGTAATTTGCAGCCAATGATAACAAAATTCTAACTGTATTCATCTTGGCAACTGGAGCAAAAGTTTCCTGGTAATCCACTCCATAGGTTTGAGTGTAGCCCTTAGCCACTAACCTGGCTTTATACCTTTTAACAGTACCATCTGCCTTGTATTTTACAGTGAAAATTCATTTACACCCCACTGGATTTTTTCCTTTAGGCAACTCTACCAGTTTTCATGTCTGATTTTTCTCTAAGACCTCCATTTCTATTTTCATGGCTTGCCTCCATTTCTCACTGGATAATGCCTCAGATAATGTAGTTGGAACAGAAATAGTGTTTAGACTCACAAGAAAATTTTTGTGAGATGGTGAGAATTTTTCAAATGACACAAAATTAGATATTGGGTATAATGGATGCTTGTTACATTCTTTGGTTCCTTTCCTAATGGCAATAGGCAAATCATAATCACTAGTTATAGTTTTAGGAGATTCATGCTCATTTTGAGAAACAGAGTCAAAAACTGTAGTTACCTCATTTTCAGAGTTAGGATCAGGTTCTTGGATTGGCACTGGTTCAGGATCTGGAACTTTTCTTCTTGAGTACACCTGTAATTCCTTCATAGAATCAAGAACAATATTATCCTTTGTCATATCTTCCGTATTTGGAATGGGTTCAGACTCAAATTCAGTGTTTGACTTGGGCTCAGCAGAAACAAGTTTTGACTCAGAAGAATTAATGGGTGTAAATGTTGAATAAGGGGGCAAATCAAGCAAAAAGAAGTCTTTATCCTTATCTTCCATGAATGAAGTCTCCTTCTGAAGATAAGGTTGAGTAAAAAATGGTTTATTTTCTTCAAAAGTGACATTTGCAGACACAAAAAATTTTTTGGTAGGAGGATGATTGCACTTATATCCTTTTTGAGTTGAAAAATACCCCACAAAAATACACTTAATCGCTCTTGGATCCAACTTTCCCCTGTTATGACTGTGAACATGAACAAATGATTTACAACCAAATATCCTAGGCGTGAGATTGTTTGTGGTATTGAGGTTGGGATAAAATTGTAAGAGTAGCTCCATAGGAGTTTTAAATCCCAAAACTCTTAAAGGTAACCTATTTATAATGTGTGTTGCAGTGAGAACAGCTTCCCCCCAATAAGATTTAGGTACATTTGCTTGAAAAAGAAAGGCTCGGGTTGTGGCTAGTAAATGGCTGTTTTTCTTCTCTGTCACTCCATTTTGCTGTGGAGTATTAACACAAGATGACTCATGGATAATCCTCTCTTTTTGGAAATAGGTGGATAGACTCTGGTTGAAGTAGTCTCTTGCATTATCAGACCTAAATCTCTTGATTCTTACTCTAAATTGATTTTGGATCATGTTTTGGAAGCTTAAAAACACACTATTCACATCTGATTTGGATTTAAGTAAAAAAACCCAAGAAACCCTAGTACAATCATCTATGAATGAAACAAACCATCTCGCACCAGAAATATTAGAAATTGTAGAGGGACCCCAAATGTCACTATGAATCAAGTAAAAGGGAGTAAAACTTCTTTTGTTACTGATTGGAAAAGACACACGTCTATGTTTTTTAAATTTGCAAATATCACAATGAAAATCCTCAACATTTAATTCTTTGAACAAAGAAGGAAACATGTTTCTCAAGGTTCCAAAAGAAGGATGTCCAAGACGAAAATGATAAAGCCAGATTTTGTCTTTATTGGAAGATTTTTCAGAAAGAAATGACAAAGATAAACTATTTTTGATACTACTTGTGTTATTTGATGTCTCAAGATAGTATAGTTTATCCTTCTCTTTAGCAAGTCCAATCATCTTCTCCGAACTCTGGTCCTGAAATTCACAATAAGAAGGATAAAAAGTTACTTTGCAATTCATATCTCTGGTAAGTTTTTGTATAGATATCAGATTAGTAGACAATCCAGGAACATGAAGAACATTTTTTAGAACAAACGAGGAATTAACTTGAACATCTCCTAATCCTGCCACTGTGGTAAGTGAACCATCAGCAACAACAATTTTCTTATTACTAGGACACAGGTTATATGTATTAAACTTTTGTGGGGAATGTGTCATGTGGTCTGTGGCTCCTGAGTCAATGATCCAAGAACTCGTAATAGGCTTAGCCGAGACATTTAATCCATGAGAACCGAAAGTTTTACCTGAACTAGAAACTTTACCCAAAGAACATACTATAGTAGGCTTTTCAAGGATTTTCAATAAGTTTCTCAGCTTTTCAATCTCTTCCCTGTTGAACACTCTTTGTTTGTGAGATATCTGTAGTACTCCAGTGATTTTTTCAGTTAACATTTCCTCAAATTGGGTGATAATGATATCTTTCTTTGAAAGGGTTCGGCAATGAAGGCCTAAACAGGATTCGGCAATGAAGGCCTAAAAAAATCAGCAATGAAGGCTGAAAATTTTGCTTCCCAAGAAGAGCCTAAAGCGCTGATACCATGTGAAAAAAATTAAGAAATGAAACTGTGTGAAAAACTAAGAGAAAAAACTGAATGTATATTGAAAAACTGCTCATTTTTAATTATACAAGAATCTTAGGTTTATATACAACTAACTAGGATTTAAACTAAGAAACTAAATCTTCTTTAATTCTAGGGATACAAATACTTAATTCTAGATATATAAATATAAATATACAGATTACAAGATTACAACCAGTTGTAAATAAATGTTTTCCCACAAAAACTAATGAGAAGTAAGAGGTTGAGATGAATGAGAGTGTGAGAATGAGACTGAAGAAAACAAAAAGGAGAGATGGCAAGAGAGGAGAGTGATTAGAGGGGAATAAAACCAAAATTTTAGTTCTAGGGTAGGGACCATGGGTTTTGTTCATGTGAAATTTTTTTTTTAGGAAAAATTTTGTTTATAGGAAATTTTAAAGGTTAAATTTTATGGTAGGAAAGTTTAAAATTAAATAAATTTAAGAATTAATATAAGATAGATAGAGAAATTTTGGAGAAATTAGATAAAAATTGAGGTGATAAATTTTTTGCATAACTTAAATGAAAATTAATTAAAGTTAAATGATTATATATTGATTTATTATTTATTATTTTATCTTTTATATATGAATTTTATTAATGATATTTTGTTTTGGTATTTGTATTGTTAATTTTTCTAGTATTAGATTAATTTTGATTATTATTATTATTATTGTGTACTTAAATAAAAATTGAAAGTTCAATCCCTTGTATAATAATTTAAAAATAATTTATGATAACAATTTTAAATTAATTAATGTGTAAAAAATTAAAATACTCAATAAATTACTGCATTTCAAAATCATAAAATAATAAATATTTAATAGATTATTACATTTAAAAATCAAGTAAATAAAAGATATGTGATATCATAAACTATTTTAAAAATCATAAAATAAGAGTGTTTATAATTATAATTATAATTACAATATTTTATAGTATATTATGCGAAATTAAAAAAAATTTCACGACCACAGTAATTGTGATGACCGCAATAGCCTTCGTTATGTCCGCAATCGTGATAAACGTGACGTGACCAAAAACACGACCGCAACCGCAATTTAAATTCCTGTTTGTGACTTCAATACACAAACAAATCCCCATTATTTTTATTCTTTTTTTCTCTTTATGTTCAAGCTCAAATCATTCGCGTGCAATCAAATGCAAAATACATTTTTTTATAAACTTCCTCATATGTTTCAATCCAAGTTTCCAAAGCCTCAAGTTGTGTTAACTGACTGATTATGTACATTTGGAACTGACTTAGGTTGAGCATCTTCATAAATGGTGTCTGCCTTTCCTTTTCTTCTCCCTTTCTATTTCTATTTTATCTTTAGCCACTAAGTAAGATGCTTTTATATAAAATTTTCATGTAATAATATTTGAGTTGGTTCATGCTTTATTAATTGTAATCTCACTCTCTACATTAATTAGTGCAGCTGTTGGTTTACTACCACTATTTTGACAGCTTAATACTGCTTTGAATCTTGTGAGCTAAGATAAATATTTCACTTAATTGTTCTTTTGCTCAATTTTTTAGGTGTTAAAGGAGTTTACTCTTCAAAAATGATTGACGGAGCAGCTCAATTTTTGCAACAATATTCTAGTTACCTGGATGCAAGGTATGCATTTATATCTTGATGAATTTTGTTTATATATTGGAACGCAACTTGTAGAAAACTATAAAACTGAGTTAACTTTGCAAGAAAGTTTTATGTATATTTATTCTTTTTTCATTCTCAGTAATGTTGTCACTTACATGCATTTAGTTGGGAATAGGCGGTGCAGAGTAGTTGGTAAAATTATGAATCTTCTTGGTGAGCTCTGCCACTCAAACCCTTTTACTCAGACCTTTACCTTTATGCTGGACACTCTTATGAATCTTCTTATGATTGTTGAAGTAATGGCTTCTGGATACTCTTATGTGGTCATTTTGACTCTTTTAGGACGTTTCTTAGACATATATGGTAGCTGAAAAAACTATATTTCTTTAAACTCCTTATTGCAGCTTTTAAAAATTCATTCTTCCCGTCTCTTTTTTCTTATTACTTTTTATGTTCTATTTGGTTGAATTTTAGGTCCTTTTCACAAACCCTAAATAATTGTTTGGGTTGAAATTGATTAAAGATTTTGAAACTTTAGATCACTTAGCTTCATATTGAAACTGATTAGACATTCTCTTGTAAATACCCTAAAACAATGTTTGTTAGTGGACTGCCATGGGTGTACATGCATACCCATGATCGAATGTATGCACAAATGAAAGAGAAAGATTTGAATTTCTTAAGCAGTGGAAACTTTCTAAGCTGATAGATTGGACAATTACTGTTATGTTTGATGCTCATATGATTTAACAAGTTATTTCCCTTTCTTCGACCTTTGGGCTCCAGTAATCCTACATTTTCTCTACGTGAATAAGCTTTATAACAATTTTTATTAGTGGGGCACCACAGCTGCACTTGCATGCCTATCATTGCTGGTATACACAAATGAAAGAGAGTATTTAACCTCTGGAGCAGTAGAAATGTTTAAACTGATAGATGGACAATTACTGTTCTGTTTGGAAGTTTTTAAGTTTTTAAGTCTGATATATTATTGTTACAGGGAAAGGATTATCTTTGTAAACAGCTTAGCATCCCTCGCCAAAAGGAAGTCTTTTAGTAGAGCTGGATTGATGGGTCTTGCAGAATGTATCGCTGCATCTGCTTTTGGGGTGTGCAAATACAACAATAATAACTCAAAATCTTGTGAAGATGGTCTTGTTGATAAGGTCCAACAGGAATATTCTTTGGAGAGTTTTTTGCATGATGATGGGACAGAGTTGCTTAATGTTCTTAGATATGTTCTAGAGAGCAGCAAACAACATTTCAATCCTAATTACCGTTTTCGAGGTCACTAATCACTAATCTGGTTAGATTTTGATGAATTATTTTATAGTTGCATATGTACTATGCAACCATTGAAGGTTGTAACAGAATCCTTGTGACACCTTTTTTCTATAATTGTCAGTCTGTGAAAAAGTACTTGAGGCTGCTTCTTCATTGGTGCCTGCAAGTGATGTTCCTCTTGACATTCTTTTGCACTTCATTTCTACAATGCCACAGGAAGTTACTGATTATGGTGGTAGGAAAAACATTATGGCTTACTCTTCTATTTGCTTGTTCCTTCATGTGTTTCCTTATGGCTATCTTTTTCTTGTTGCTGGTGCATCTGTCCATCCTTAATGACATTTTGCCACACAAATTAAGTATGATTTATGTTGTTTCTCAAATTGGTTTGTTTTAGATCTTAAGGTAAGATATAGTTGAGTTGATTGATTTTTATATGCCAAATGGAGCTGAAAGCTTTATTTAGTTATTGAACTTTGTAATCACTCACTTAGTTTTTTACTTTTTCACTTGTTTCAACTTTCCTTTGCCTGAGTGAAAATATGTTTTTTCTTCACTGGAGTTGAGAGATTAGAGTTTACAAACGTACTACTTTCAAGAGGTCTTTATCAAGGAAATGATTGTTGCATTATGTAGTGAACACTTTTGGTGTTCTGTAGCAAGCTTTTAGCATGGAGACAACCGGTTTCAGAGGATTTTTAAGCCTGATGGGACACCCTTGGTGCCATTTTTTGAGAAAAGCATCAGCAGTGGATGAGATTGATTATCGAAATTTCTTATTTTGCCATGATAGATTATGTGGAGAAGATTCTTAAAATATGCTTAGTCAGAGTTATCCCTAAACTATTGAATTTTGTTTTAAATTTTATTGCTTGTTTTACTTGTTAACTTAGGATCCAGATTTTTTCTTCATCTCATATTACCTTCTTATGGATCTTCCTAAATCCTTATTCCATGAATTTGTTTTGTAACTTACATTTGCTTGTCTACTGTCTTCAAGGAGGAGCTTCTTTCTTTATTTTTTTTATGTATAAGATTTCTCCATCTCTTTAGGTTCTCTACGTGTAAGAGTACAAGACTGGCTTTTGCAGAACCATCACACTGCTCATTGTGGTGGTATCCAGATGAAGCTTTTGGAGAGTCTCAATGACTTTCCAGAAAGGTTCATTATTCATCACTATTTGGTTCAAAATTTCGATGATGAAGACTTGGATGCATGGGAACTTGAAGTGAGAAGATGGGCAAGAGTACTCTTTCTCGTTATCAAGGAAGAACATCAATTAGTACCTTTAGTAATGGTTTGCCTTCAACTTCACCCTTTATATGCTCAATTTTTTTGCTTTTACTTTTTATTCTTCTTTCTTTGTTGGTTGGTATAAATTTTAGTTTATAGAATGCAACTGAAAAAAAATTTAATCACATTTTTACTTAGATATTATTGGTTATACTCTTTCATATCAAAGTTTTAAATTGCAAGCACGAATACTCGTGTACTCTAATATGATATGTCTTTTATTGTATGGAAAATGAATGTTTGGATATCAAATTGAAAAAAAAAAAAGCTCTAATTTATTGTCTATCTTGGTCCTTTGTTGGTTCTCATTCTTTTCATCTATCTTATCCTGTTAGGATGTTGGTGTTATTCTCTTCCATAATGTCTGTGCTTTGTTGAACATCTGAAATCTTAGTTGCTGCATTTTGTCTAGTTGAAGAGCTTCATCACTTCTGTTTTCCATGAAAAATGTTCTGCAGGTTGACTGATTTGCATAGGTATCGGTTTTGATTTTAGTTTATATGTTGATGCTGGCATTCTTTTTGAAATATCATTTGTTCGTTTTGCCCACCAGGAGTTTGACATTTTATTTATGTTGGATTGTACAGTTTATACAAAATCATGGAACAAATATTTGTAAACAAAATAAACATTCAGAGTGGATACCTGTGAAGTTTCTTACCCTCATATTGGGCTTGATTCAAGAGATCCAGATGATGCAAAGCAGAACTTCTAAACGTGGTGTCAAAATTCAAGCCAAATCTGAAACAGGTGGCCTGCTGGAGACAGGGGAGCAATTAAGTAATGCTGAAGCTTCAAACATTTACAAGATGTTCACTGATCCTTTACTGCTTATATTGGTATTTGTGCCTTCTTAAGTTTTTATCAAATGATGAGCATTGCATATAATATTTTTTTTTAAACAAAAGAGCTGTACATAGATGTTTTGTTTGGCATGTAGGAGGAAGTCGTGTCCTTTGCCAACTCATCTTGTTCCATATTTTCATCTAGTTCTGACATGGAGGACAAGATTCTGCCTAGTTCTGTGAGGGGAAAACTTGGAGGTCCTAGTCAACGACGATTATCAAATTCTTTGACAACTGCTGTATTACAAGCTGTATGTTCCATTCTATTATTAGTTTCATTAATTGATTTCTTCGTAAGAACTATTTTTAAGCTTTTGTTGTCAAGCACATTAATGTGCCTCACCCCCTTTCACCCCAAAAAAGATCATTCAATTCACTAGATGAATCCTTCCTAGGCTTTTCATAGAAACCTTTTGAAATGATTGCATTATGTGCTCATTAATTGCTCTCGCTGTCCATTTCTCATTTATAAATATCTTCTTTTATTGTTGTCTATTCCTTTTTTTTATTGAAGTAGAAGGCCTAATTTGTTTCAATTTCATATGTATGAACAGACAATCTCCGTTAAAGCTGTTGCATGTATCTATGCCTGGTGTGCACAACTTAGAAGTGGCATTCTATTAAATTCTGCTTTAACTTTTGTGTGGAAATTCTTCTGTAACACTATTGCATCTCCAACTTGTAACTCTGAGGTAAGTTTTTGGTTATTCTTTTGCAAAATATGACCATTTTTTTTACATTTTATTTTCATTTTTAATAATTTGTTCTAACATATCACTGACTATGAGTACCTCAAATCAGACTGAAGCTGAAGTATGTCTTGCTGCATATGAAGCATTAGCTCCTGCTCTGAAAGCACTTGTCTCTGCATTCTGTCCTAAAACTTTGGGCCTTTTCAGGGAAAGTTGCAAGTCATTGCTACCTGCAATAGAAGTTGAACCTTGGTTAGATTCCTTTGTTCTTTCTTTTCTTCATAATATCAATGATCTTCTTGCCGTTGGATTCATGGCACGCACTAGGCGTGCAGTTTTGCTTAATTGGAAGGTAATACTTATTTGTTAAATTTAACTTTGCTTTATTCTTTTTCATTTAGTTTGGTGTTTAAACTCATTTGCAGTCATAATGTTGATCCTGATGGAATCCAGAAATTCGATGACATAGATAATAACTTTTTTTTTTCTTTGTGTATCTATAATATTTTTTAAATTCATATTCTTTTTCCCTTCTAATTTTGCCTTAAATGTGCATAGATAATAACTTAAAATGTCTGTGTGTATATCTATAATATTTTTCAAATTCATGTTCTTTTTCTAGTTTTGCCTTTTGTAAATATATATATATATATATTGCATGAAAATCTTTAAATATTTATGTTGAAATTAGTAAAAGAGATATGCTTCTTAATGCATTTATTTTCATAGCGTAATGGAGAGTTCAACTTGCATTAGTATAAGTTTTGAATTCTAATGTCAGCCAATCACTAAGTTCCAGTTCAGATGAATTTTTAAGTTTTACACATTTTATTATCCTTGCTTCTGTATAGTGTAGTATTCAAACATTTACTATTGTGGCCAATACAAAATCATGATTAAAAGAAAAATTCTTTTCGCACTACTTTTAAGATTCTTATTTGAAACTATATTTGTCTATAATGAGCTGTTCTATACTTTTAATTTGAATTTTTATAGAGGATAAAATTTTCCAATTCAAATATTCTTGGAAAACGAGTTTGGTAAAATTTTTATTTCTAAAATACTAGAAAGTATTAATTTTAAGGTTTTGAGAGGTAAAATTTTCTACTCGCATATAAAGGTTTCATACAATGAGTTTTTTTTTTTTTTGGCCGGAGGTGTGAAGTTTGTCTGAGAGGGTGTTTTTCTTTCAGCTTTTAACTAATACATATTCAAGTTCATTATTAGTAGTAACAAATTCATAAATCTGAATACTAAGTGTTTTGTGATTGATTCAGTGGGTTTGCTTAGAATCTCTACTCTCTATTCCTTACTATGCTTTTGAGAGTAAGCTTCAACTGGAGTATGGCAACCTTTTCTTCTCAGATTCTGTTGTTAGACACATTTTTACTGAGATTGTTGAGAGGTAAGAAACTTACTGACCTTAATTCTGTCATTGCTCATGCTAGAAGTTGGTTGCATGTTGAATATCTTGCAGTATTTTGTTGCCAATTATGCTAGTTTTGGTTAGACTGCTAAATTTATAGTTTGGATCTTTTTACTCTGGGATTATTCAGATGCTTACACCTGTATAAACACATATATTGTACCAGCATATTTGTAGTAACCAAAATGTGCTTCTATATAAACATTTATTTGCACAACATGCACTTGGACACATATTGCTTTATTTTTTACATGTTATATATGGGATTGGATGTTTCAAATATTTGTTAAATCTGAAGGTGAGTCATTTAGCAGTTCTTGTTTCAGGTTGTCTAGTTCTCTTCACTTCTTTTTTTTTCCTCCATGGATAAGATGCTAAAATGGAGACTCTTTTATTTTTTTTATTTCTTCTTAAATAACCTTGCAGTCTTGAGAATGCTGGGGAGGGTTCTGTTTTACCCATGTTGAGATCTATCAGATTGGCCTTGGTGCTATTTGCTTCAGGAAGATTATCTTCGGTTGGTTCCAGATGCACTGGTGTAGATTCTCAGGTGAATTTTTGTCTGTGCATTTTGAGGTAACCTTGTGCATAGTGTGGTGCAACAGTCACGATTGATTGGGATGGTGCTATGTCTACACTATTTTGAAATATTAAGATTGAGATTTTAATTTGGTTATCATTCTTGCACTTTTTATGCGTGTAAAGCTATTTATTTGCATGGGCTTATTTCAGGCAGGTTGAACACCCAGTTACACTATCGTGGAACATGATTATTCATTACCGAGGTCTTTCAATGGGCTACAGAGGCAGGGAGTGGTTTTATCTTGAAGTGATAATAGAGGAGAATGTTACTGAAGAAATCTCTAGAATAAAACTATTTTATTCTTCAATATTTTTCTATTACAATACTAGAATTGCATGAAAATATATAGGCTAAAGACTGGATATTCTCAGCCTTAAAACCCAAGATTTTCATGCATTAAAATAGCTAATTAAAGGAGAAATTTACTCTCTACACATAATAGGAAAATATCTAATGGATTTGGTGTAATTACCCAAATCACTCCTTATTCTAAAAATAAGAGACTTGACTAAAATAGATAAAGTCAACTAATTGAGGAATAATGAAGATTAGATTTCTACACTCCATTTCAAGCTAGGTGGTAGATGTCAACCATGCCCAACTTGGACTTCAGATTCTCGAAATTGTTTCGAGAGAAAGCTTTAGTGAGTATGTCTACAATTTGGAGCAATGTGGGAGTATAAACTAATCTAACAATTCCTTCTTCTATCTTCTCTATGATGAAGGGAAAATCAATCTCTACATGTTTAGTCCCATCATGATTAACAGGATTCTTTGCTATACTTATGGCAACTTTGTTTTCGCAGAATATCTTCATGGATTCTTTTGTAGAGACCTTTAACTTCCCTAGCAACCTTTCTAGCTAAATTCTCTCACATATGCCATGAGACATAGCTTTAAACTCAGCTTCCGCACTACTTCTAACCACCACAGATTGCTTCTTGCTTCGCCAAGTAACCAAATTTTCTCACACATAGGTACAATAACCAATAGTTGATCTTTGGTCAGTAATAGATCCAGCGCAAACAGTATTAGTGTAAATTTCAACATTTCGGCGTGATGTCTTCTTAAAAAATAACCCTTTGCCAGGACTCTTTTTTAGGTACTGTAAGATTCGACACATAGCCCTAAAGTGTTGCTCGGTTGGGTTGTTCATGAATCTACTTACCATGCCAACCGAAAAACTGATATCTGGACTTGTATGAGAGTGGTAGATGAATTTCCCAACTAGTCTTTGATATCTGCCCTTATCTGTTGGTGGACTTCCTTCCATTCCTACCTTATTCATTGTGTCCATAGGGTTGTTAGTAGGTTTGTATCCAAGCATTCTAGTTTCCTAGTACATCTAGGACATACTTACGTTGTGAAACAGAGATGTCATTCCCTGAGCAAGCTATCTCCATGCCAAGAAAATATTTGAGGTGTCCCAAATCTTTGATTTCAAATTCTTTGGCTAGGAGGTTCTTTAGGTTGCTAATTTCTTCCACAATCTCCAGTAAGAATAATGTCATCCACATAGACAATAAGAATGGCTATTTTTTCTTCATGTGAATATTCGACAAACATGGTGTGATCGGTCTAGCATTGTGAAAAACCATACTTCTTTACCACTTTTGTTAGTCTATCAAACCATGCACATGGGGATTGTTTGAGTCCATATAAAGACTTTTGAAGTTTACATACCTTGCCAGAATTGTCTGGGTTTTTGAATCTTGGAGGGATTTTCATGTAAACTTCTTCTAGGTCGCCATTAAGAAATGCATTTTTGACATCTATTTGGTGAAGTGACCAATCTAGATTTGCTGCCAATGATAATAACACTCAGATTGAATTAAGTTTAGCAACTAAAGCAAATGTCTCCTCATAGTCAACACCATAAAATTGAGTAAATCTTTTTGCAACAAGGTGAGCTTTGAATCTGTTAATACTTCCAACTACTTTGTGCTTGACAGTAAAAATCCATTTACACCCAACTGGATTTTTCCCTTTAGGTAATTCTGAAATCTCCCATGTTTTGTTCTTTTCTAGGGCCCTGATTTCTTCCAAAACAGCCATCTTCCATTTTGGTTGCATGATTGCTTCATGAATATTATTGGGAATTCGCATATTGTTTAGTGTGGTAACAAAAGCCCGACAACTAGGTGATAAACTTTCATAAGAAACCACATTATAGGTTGGGTGTTGATTATATGATCTCATACCTTTCTTTAAAGCAATCGGATGATCAAGATCATCAAAAGATTCAATTGATTCAATTGAATCAGATACAGCAAAAGTCTTACCTGTGTTGGTTTCAAATATCTCTAGAATCAGTTCAAATTCTTGGCTTTGCTTTGAAGGTGTACATTCTCCTAGATCCTTCTGAGTTTTATGTCTTCCTGAATAGACAATCAATTCTTTGTTTGTTTTCCCTTGTGTGGACTTCGGGCTTGGAGGATTGGGTTAAATGTTTTGGACTTGAAAGGAGTTGGAGAAGTGTTTGGTGGTTCGGTAATAGGATCTTCCCAAAGCTAATATTCTCGTGTGATTTGATTCTCCCCCTGAATAGCAATTTTGGGAAAGTAAGGTTGATTTTAAAAAAAGGTAACATTCATGGTATGGCAGAATTTCTTTGTTACTATTGAGTAACACTTGTATCCTTTTTTATTCTGGGAGTATCCAAGAAATATGCATTTGATGGATTTGGGATCTAATTTACTTTGGTTTTGTTGGCTGGTAAGAACAAATGCAGTGCATCCAAACACTTTAATGGGAATAGACAAGATGATTTGAAGGTGAGGATAGGAACTGAGAAGGGATTGGCAAGGGCTTTGAAATTTCAGGACTCGAGAAGGCATTTTGTTTGTAAGATATGTAGCGGTAAGAACAGCCTCACCCCAAAAATGCTTAGGTACATAGCTAGCCATCATGAGGGATCTTGCAACTTCCAACAAATGTCAATTTTTTCTTTCAGCAATGCCATTGTACTGATGAGTATCAATACGAGCTTTGATGAATTATACCATGCTTCATTAGATATGATCCAAGGATTGAATTGTAGTATTCTTTCCCATTGTTAGTTCTCAACACTTGGATTTTGGTTTTAAATCGAGTTTAGATCATATTGTTGAAGTTTTGGAATAGCTGGTCCACTTCTGATTTTTCCTTCATAAGGAATACCCAAGTTACCGTGATGTGATCATCAATAACTGTGACAAACCATTTAGAATCAGTGATGCTATTTACGCTGGAGGGACCCCAAATGTCGTTGTGTATCATTAAAAAAGGATGGGATGATTTGTGAGGTTGATTAGGATATGTGGCATGAGAATGTTTCGATAGTTGGCAAACTTCTCATTGAAAGTTGTTAGGATTTTTATTCAATAATAAGGGAAACAACCTTTTAAGGTACAAAAAGTTTGGATGACCTAACCAATAGTGCCACAACATGATAGTACTATCTTTATTAGTATTGGAAGATAAAACCACACAAGAGGTCTTCTGATATTCTTTTTCAAAATCATTAGCTCTTAGGATATAGAGTCCTGCACACATCTTAGCATTACCAATCATCTTCCCCGAGTCTAAATCTTGAAATTCACTCATATTTCGAAGAAATTTAGTAACATACTTAAGGTCTCTTGTAAGTTTGCTTATAGATAGTAGATAGCAACTTAGATTTGGGACAAACAAAATAGAATCAAGTGCTATCTCTTTGGAAATAATAACAGAACTTGTACCGGCCACTTTTGAAAGTGACCCATCAGCAATTCGAAATGTGAAGTTTTTATGACATGGGTTGTATTTACTGAATACAAATGCATCCCCGGTCATACGGTTTGAAGCTCTTGAATCCACAATCCATGAATTTGACTTCTCTAGTTTTACACTCAAGGCACTTAAAAAATTACCATTTTGTGCTAAAGAACCTATTCCAATAATGCTAGCTCTGGGGTTAGAGGTAACCTCCCACACCGGGCTCTCCTTTCCGCTGCCATGCTGGACTCCAAGTGAAAATTTTCAAAGGTTCAGATCGCGTTCTAATATCATGAGGAAATCTCTAGAATAAAACTATTTTATCCTTTTATATTTTTCTATTACAATACTAGAATTGCATGAAAATATATAGGCTAAAAATTGGATATTCTCAGCCTTAAAACCCAAGATTTCCATTTATTAAAACGGCTAATCAAGGAGAAATTTAATCTCTACACATGATAGGAAAATATCTAATGGATTTGGTGTAATTACTCAAATCACACCTTATTCTAAAAAAAAAAGAGACTTAACTAAAATAGATAAAGTCAACTAATCCAAGTAATAATGAAGATTAGCTTTCCACAGATACAAATTCTAGACAAAATTCCCCTGCCTTGAATTTATAAACACTAAAATATTATTTTTGTTAGCAAAGGTGGCTTCAAAATTAATTTGATATTTTGTGAGGAAGATCATGGTTTTAGTAATCTGTGTGCGTGTCAGAGATGACTAGTAGACAGAGTCATGCTATGCCTCAATGTATGACATTCATCTGTGTTCTTTCCATCATTTTTCTTTTTTGTGTGCATTATTTTTATTTTCATTTGTTAAAGGGGAGTAATTTTATTTTAGGGTATGCGCCTTTTGAATAATGGAATTTGCTTCCACTAATTTAGCATGCAGAATTGATTCCTCAAGCATATAATCAAATGCTAAACTCTAAGTATTATCAGCCTTTTCTTTTTTGTTTTCAATTTCTGAAGATATTATCACTTGTGTCTGTCGTTTGTAATCTTCACTGATATTTTCTTTATTTTTCTCTTTGTAAATTGCATTTTGATATTGCCACTTTTTTTTTTTGTATGCCTTGTATTCATAAATTTAAACATCTTACTGTAAATGCTAAGAAAATAAGAATGTGTAGGGCTACTGAGGAGTATCAATTCTTCCAAAACATTTGCCTTTTACCATCTCAGTCTCATAATATGTTTGTTTGATCGGAAGAAGCTAATTCACATATTGTCTCATGACTTGATGTAGATGATTTGGCGCTTGGTTCGTTCCTCTTGGATATTGCATGCCAGCTGCAACAAGCGGAGGGTTGCACATATTGCAGCACTTTTATCTTCTGTCTTGCATCCTTCCTTGTTCAGTGATGGGGACATGCATGTTACTGATAATGAACCTGGGCCCCTGAAATGGGTGTGTGGTTTCTCTCTTTTGTGTTTGCGTGTTTGCATGAATGTACGGATGTTGGTGTGAGTGAGCGTAAGGGGGTGTTTATTGTGCACATGCTTTGTCTTTGTATGTGGTGGTTCTATAGGACTATATCATCTTTGTCTTTACATCAATGGTGCAGTTTGTTGAAAAGCTTCTGGAGGAGGGCACAAAAAGTCCCCGGACGATTCGTCTTGCAGCTTTACATTTGACAGGGCTCTGGCTCTCAAATCCAAGGACCATAAAATACTACATAAAAGAACTGAAGCTGCTAACACTCTATGGCTCTGGTATTGTCTCATGCTTGTCCACTTTCTGGGTCATTCATGTTATTTATTATTTTCTTTTTTTGGTACATAATGTTTTTTATTTAACTTGCCTTATACATAAAAATAATGTATGAATCTGAAATTTTCTCCTCCAGTTGCTTTTGATGAGGATTTTGAAGCTGAGTTAACTGAAAACCATGGTGCAAAAAGTGAAGTTACATTATTGGCCAAAATCCCAGACTCTGAATTGACTGAAGTAACCTCTTCAATTTATTGTCTCATTGTGTCCATAAAATTCAATAGTTTTCATGATACTTATAAAAAAAAATTAAATATTGCCCTTTGGCCCAAACATAATGTTTTGTTTTGCAATATCTTTATTTATTATCTTATGTATTAGGGTTTCTAAATACGTTTAAAAGAAACACATTTGATTTTGTAAAATTTCTATGCTCTTTCTGGAGATTATACTCTGAAATTATTTAATATTCTCTAACTGTTTGATCATCTTGGAGGAACTTTATGTCTAGACTTTCCATAGGTTTGGTGGGCATATATGGATTGCATGCTACTGGGCATTTAGTAAAATTTTTCTTGTGGTGGTTTTCTTCATTTCCATTGCTTTCTTTGAGTTATTGAATATATCAACTTCTCTTTATAGGCATTTATCAACACAGAGTTGTATGCACGTGTGTCTGTAGCAAATCTCTTTTACAAGCTGGCTGACTTGACTAATAAGGTGGGATCACCAAGTGGAAATGAAGATTGCCAGGCAGCCTTTGAATCTGGAAAATTCTTTCTGCTAGAGCTTCTGGATTCTGTGGTATTGTTCTTTTTTATCAACATCAATTGATTGTTATTCCACATTGTCAATGAAGTTAATATGTTCAACTAGCTAATTAACATAAGTCTGTAGCCTCTTATTAGACAATTAATAGGTTCTTGTTAGAGTAAACTGAGTTTGTTGACAATGTGAAACGAAGTTGCCAAAGGAGGAAGTAGGCTTATGTTTTACAATTTATTCTTGCATGAGTCTTGTGACTAATTTATAAGGTTGTTCTTAAGAGAAGTGTAGTGTATGTTTGTAGAATCCTATCACAAAATAATAATTTTTTTTTCCAATAATCATGTTATCACCCTCCTGAGCTTAGGGAGCATGTCTACAATCATGGTTAAATTCGCTGCATTATTTATTTAACCATTTACATCCAACTTGCATGAAAAGAAAGTACATTGTGCTGTTATGTATTCGTTGATAATAGCAAAATTTCCGCATCAAATTTTTGGGTTCTAGTTTTCATGGCATTCATTTATGATGCAGGTAAATGATAAGGATCTTGCAAAAGAGTTGTATAAGAAATACAGCGCGGTAACTGATACTTTTCTGTTTATTTTCCTTCGTTTTGGTTTTTTCACCAACTGAAATTGAGAATAATAAGTGAAGTAAACGTAGTGCAATAAGATGTAAAACATTGAATGAAGGAATTTTTAACTGTAGTTTGGTTCTCCGTCATTCTAGGAGTTTTCTGTTGATGATGCATGAAGTATGAGGATATATGTATTGAAATTTTGTTACATTTAAATAATGAAAAGTTGCAAATGATTAAATGTTGTATTTGTTCAAATGTTTGTCATACGTTTAAGTGTAGGTTCCTATTTCGATCTTTTAAGCTTTATTACAATGGTTATTATCTGTCCTGTCATTTTTAAACAGATCCATAGGCGAAAAATACGTGCTTGGCAGATGATATGTGTTCTGTCACAATTTGTTGATGATGACATAGTTGGAGAAGTCATACATTGCTTGAACATAGCTCTCTATGTAAGTAACTGCTGCTTCTTTAGAAAAATCTAATAGTTCGGTCGTGTATTGTTTGCAATGTGATCTGAAGTTTCATAATATGATGAGTTCAGCAAGTTGTTTTGGAGAGAATCAGGTAATTTTCTGGTTTTGATAGAAATTTCATGAAAGCTTTCCTCAAATAATTGTTTCTGAACGTCTGCTCCATGTGTGTATTCAGAATTTTTAGTTTCCCCTACTTTCAAATGGCAGAGTGCTTCTATTTGGTGCTGACAGGTTGCTGTTAGGTTTTTCCATAAATTATGCCATGTTTACACATGAATGCTTCTTGTTTTGCATCATGTCACTAGTATGTGTACTTACTGTCTAATTTTTGATTCTACAGATCTGATGATGTGATTTAGTTGGTTTGACCAAGGGATTAATGGGAAATGTTATATTGATAATTTAATTGTCTGCTTTATATGTGATTTCTTTTCGTTCGACTTTTCTAAGCAACGGGCATTTACTGTTTTACTCACAACCTTGTGAACACATATACATGATTTTTTTTACTACCTAGAATAAATGTTCTGTGAGTACAGCTTGCTACATACTGACTCATACTTGCCATTGTCAGAGTTTGTAGAGTTTAGTGACAATTTTAACTCAATGTGCCTGAATGGTCTTTAATTATTTGACTTTGGATTGCGTAAAAATGTTCAAGCATAACTATATTAATAGAATCTTTGTAGTTCAATGGTTTTTATTTTATTTTATAGTTTTGTTGATCTTCACTGATTTGCTTCTCATGTCTCTTTTGCAGAGAAACAACTTACCCTCTGTTCGCCAGTACTTGGAAACATTTTTAATTAATATTTACTTGAAGTTTCCATATTTGGTAATGCATTTTCTTTATTACAAGGGACACATCTTCAATTTGTTTACAAAGAAAGCTTAAACTTCATGCATGGGATGTGTGGAGAAACACACATGCTCCAAAATTCTACATGACTGAGGTGTCAAATATCTGTTAAAGTGGGAGCAAAACAAGCCTGTCCACACACATTCACAAAAAGAGGCCTCTTAAGAATTTTAACTATTTTGGTATGACATCATTTGCTAAAAGCTTGAATGATGCTATTGCTATATAGAAGGAATAGCCACATTTTTCTAAGTCATCTTTGAATCTTTATTACTTGACAAAGAATGGAACTGACAAAATGTTCCTGGCTTCTATTAACTTAATAGGTATTGCTGAGTCATTCAGCTGGTTTTATTGATTCTTATAATTATATCGCAGGTTTCAGAGCAATTGGTTCCCATATTACAAGATTATGACATGAGACTTCAGGTAAATATTGCAATAAGAATAACTGAGCTTCCTCTGCTTAAAGTTTTGTTCAGAGTGTAGATTTCACAAGTTCTAATTGTTTGAAGTTGCAACAACTTTCATCCCATATTTAGAAACCCTTTTTAGTCATTGCTTTTCGAGAATCTTGGGAAATTTACCATACAATCTTGATGGCTTAGTATCTATGAAGAATGATTTATATGGCTTGAGTGATTACAGATTATATGCAGCATGTTCTATACTATATATACAGATAGAAAAGCATCTACCTCTTTCACAAATGCACACACAGGGACACATGCACGTGCACACAGCTAAGCCTTTAAACAATTTTCCTAGTCTAGTTAGATGCAGTGATACTTATTGTAGGTGGGAAATATTAACTATTTCTTTCACTTATTTACATTCTGGATTTTTGTGGTGTATGCAAATTTAGTACTGCTGCTGTATGCATACTGTATTAAGCTTTATGCATCAAATGCAGGCGCTTTCTTCCTATGTGTTCATAGCAGCTAATGTGATCCTCCATGCTTCTAAAGAGATTCAATTCAGGCATTTAGATGATCTACTTCCTCCCATACTTCCATTGTTAACCTCACATCATCATAGCTTACGTGGCTTTACACAGGTCAGTTTCATGGAAGTTGATGAGTGCCACATTCTAAATTTTGATTGTCTTTGCTTGTTAAAGCATTTTTCATTTTTGAAATTCTTTTGCAGATTTTGTTACACCAAGTATTTTGCAAAATTTTTCCTCCCATGAATCCTAGAAGCTCTGAAACTGTACCTTTGGAAAAAAGGTGCTTTGAGGATTTGAAATTATACCTGGCAAAGAACTCTGATTGCATGCGGTATGTTATTTATCTACATTTTCCTGTATCATACATTTGGCAACTTTGCGATTCTAAGAACTTTGCACAATGAAAAAGCTGCTTCCAGAAGTTTTGTCAATTAAATTTCATTTGCAATGTTAAATGTTAAGTTAATGACCATCATTAAATTTTTACCATTTCTCTGGCCATTTGACAAGGTTAAATAAATAGATGGATGGTATTAGTACAGAAAGAGAGATGGTAGCCTTTAATAAAGTTTAGTGATTAGAAAGTGCAACAATATTGGATGTATGAGATTGCAGTGCAATACTTTAGATGTCTGCATTACATGCTGCTGCCAAGTTATATATTTAATGTTTAAACTGCCCTTGACATGTTGATTTGGTTGCCTCTCAGCTTGCGAGCTTCTATGGAAGGTTATCTTGATGCTTATAATCCAAAAACCTCTGTTGCACCTGCTGGAATTTTTGTTAGCCGGGTAGAGGTATGGGATTTCATAAATGCAGCTGGCTAACTTTTGAAATTTTTGGAAAATGAAGAGTTAGTTTCTCAATTCCAAGTTGGGCTTTCTGAAAATTTTTTTTAATGAATGAATTATCCAGCAGATAAATGCCTTTTTTTTTTCTCTCTTGATCCAATTGATAAAGTAGATTATGATTGATGTTCATTGGATAAAATGCTATTGGTGGAAGAAATTTCTTTCTTTCGTGAGGGTTTGCAAATTACTGTGGCTCTGTAATTAACTTAACCTGTTGACAGTCATTTTCTTCCTGAAATTAGGAGTTTTTATGGGAATAATCAGGGTTGCAAAATTACTTGTTGCATGTTGATTGTGAGCTGTGAGCTCAAAAAGTTAATATGAGGAGGCGTGTATTCTTTCATTACAGTTTTGCTTCTCAGAATACCTTTTTTTTTTTTTCTCTTTTTCTTTTTACTCCCCTTTTCCTTGTATGGTAAAAAATGCAGGAATTGGAGTTTGAATGTGTTCCAACATCCCTCATGGATCAAGTGCTCACCTTTCTAAATGTAAGCAGTTGTAAGCTTCTATTGCTTTTTCATGCTTGGTTGATCTAATTTTCTGTTACTGCAGGATGTGAGGGAAGATCTGAGATGTTCAATGGCAAAGGATACAGTGACAATCAAGAATGAGAGTCTAAATATGGGTGAAAGTCCTGGATCAATTGAGAAACAGTCTACTGCTTGTGAAGAGAAATTGTTTACTGAGTTGCCGAAAGATGCTCATTTGGACTTCCAGAAAAAGATTACTTTCCCTAAGCATGAGAAGCAGGACATGGATTCCAGTTCATTACTGGGCAAGGGAGAAATGTACATGCAATTTCTAGGTATGTATTAACTTTTAGAAGTAAATTATTTGAAGGTTAAAGTTCTTAACAGTTTGTTGACACTGTATTCGTGAAATTGCATGTTTTGGGCTGCATTGCAATAGAACTGATGATGTTTGAGTTTTTACCCCTTCTATCCCTTTCTTCTTTTGATAAACAAATGTTTTAATTGCTCTATTGCGTCAATAATAATGTGCAAAAGCAGAAATGGAAAATGAAGATGATCTTCTTGATCAATTGTTAAAGTCTAGAAGCTTGGCTATGGAAAGGATTAGAGGAAACCGACAGCATATTATCCTAGTAGCATCATTGCTCGATCGTACACCCAACCTTGCTGGACTGGCACGTACTTGTGAGGTATGTTATGCTGGTTATTAAGTTATATTTCTAAATGCTTAGTGGCTTAATTCTTATTTAATATGTCTTCTTATTTAGATGTTAGTATTGGCATTTATTTAGCATGCCTTCTGCTCATGCAAACACACCCAATTGTTGTTCCTTTCAGGTTTTTAAAGCATTGGGATTAGCTGTTGCAGATGCAAAAATAGTACATGACAAACAGTTTCAACTCATCAGGTTTTGATAGATAACTGTCATTTGTTCTGTAACTCTTTATATAACCCATATTTGCTTGGCTTTTATCATATAAGACTAAAAAGAGGCTGCTTCACGTTAGGTGAATGGTTGGGTTCTTCAGGCACTAGCGTTACAATCTGCTCTTTGTAAAACATTATAGATTTTAATGTATCATAATTTTGGAATTCATGATTATAAAGCAGGAGCATGGGATTGGATTCAAAGTTTTAGAGTGCATATAACACATGATTTTCCTATACCTTTAATTGAAAGCTTCAGTTTTGCCTGTCAGAGCTTGAATAAAAGTATGGTTCCATGATTCTGAGGTGGTTCTAATATCAGACCTTAATGTTTGAATGGCCTTTTGTTTGTCAGATTTATTACGGAATCAGATAGATCAACTTGTCTTCTGCTGGAAACTTTGGTTTCCATAATTTGATTCCATTGTGCTATTTAGTGTTTTAAGACCATTGGACCATATGCAAGTATTTTTAAAAATATATTGATTTTAACTTTGGCTATCAATCGCTCACATTATTTGTGCTCTGCAGTGTGACAGCAGAGAAGTGGGTTCCTATCATAGAAGTGCCAGTAAATAGTGTGAAACAATTCTTGGAGAAAAAGAAGCGTGAAGGTTTCTCAATCTTGGGATTAGAGCAAACTGCAAACAGTGTACCTCTTGATCAGTATATCTATCCCAAAAAGACTGTAAGTTGTCCTTTAAAGCACAAATTAATTTAGCAATTTGCTATTAATTATTTTTTCCTTTCTTAATGCCTGCTTTGAATTATGTTTCTCTAGACTGATAAATATTAAGAAAGTTTAATATTTTAACCATAGTCCAGGTGTTATTTCAACATTTCCATGTGGACCTTTATGCTTGCATTTTGAGTTTACATCAGCTCTCCATTTACTAAAAAATTTACTAGTGACTTTAATTGATGCTGAGGGAATTTAAGCAAAACTCCCCGTTTTATTATTTTGCTAGGTCTTGGTTCTGGGGCGTGAAAAAGAGGGTATACCTGTGGACATAATCCATATATTGGATGCTTGCATCGAGATTCCTCAGTTGGGGGTTGTACGATCACTTAATGTACATGTCAGTGGAGCCATTGCTCTTTGGGAGTATACTCGACAGCAACGATTGTAATAGTTCACTACGCTTGAGGATATAATTTATAACTTGCAACTCTACTTGCCATTATATACTTGACATCAGCAGTCTTCGATATCTTTATCCTTTCCATTGAATAGCTCTTTTTAAATGAAGAGCATATTTTACCAAATATCTTCAGCTTCTATTAGTCGGCCAATTGTATTTTTTTTTTGTTGTATTTGATTGTAATTTGATTATGTACTATTTTTGGGTGTTATGGCCATGGACCTCTCATTCTTCTTGATTTTAGCATTTCAGCTGAAGAAAGCAGGTTATGTACGTGAAATTATCAAGTCTCATGTATTTGTTTTTGAATCAAGTCTAGGTCAGGGATGCATTTGGTTGATTAACATCAACAGGAGCCTTCCAGATTTCCGGAACCATATGACTATTTTGATTATCATATTTGCGTGAATGTTTGCTCTCTCAATTCACTACACTGGCACTTGAAGAGATTAGACTTGGTGTTGTTCAGCTGAAACTCGGATGAAATGATCTTGTATTAAAAACGATAATTGTTGATCTCCTTGATTAAACTGGGATATTGGCATGATGACTATCCACATCCTTTCACTTTTAATTGAGTTTGAATTGCCATTGGGTTTTTTCCCCTTATCAGAATTATCTCTTTTTCTTTTGTTGTTAGGACTAATTCATCTTTACCATGATTTCTAGATTTTTCTCGTACCTGCCTATGCAGTTTATGCTTTAATGCCAGAGAGAATGTCCGCCAGCATGATCAAGGTGGTTTGAAAATAACAAATACATGTATGGTTGTGTTCCATTGCATGAAACTAGTTTGCATCCCATCAACCATCTTTCCTACAATTTATAGACGGTTTGGGATATTTCTTCCTTGAGTCTCTGGTACATTTCGTACATAAGCAATACATCACCGTAAATGAACCGGTTCTCTTTTGCATTTCTCATATATTTTACAATTACTAACCAATTCATTTTCCCACCCTACTCTCTAGCTTGATGGCTAGTTGTGCATTTATAACATGCTTTGTTGGGCATTGGAGCTTACACCTCCTCCCTACCGTAGCACATTAGCTGGTTTATAACATAGTTTCATTAGGCATTGGAGGTTACATATCTTCCCTACTCTTTTAGCATAGTTTTTATCTATTACTCATCATTAGAAGTTCTGCATTTGCACTAATGTGACCTTGCACGTTGCTGCAGAACGTTCAATGATCTATGTGGGAAGAACAAATGGACAAAAAAACTGCAATCCAACTAGTTATTCTTGGAATTCGTGTCATCCTGCCAGGTTGCTTGCCATTGCTTGTCATAAAAGGTTGTCTCTTCAATCAGCTTCTTGATGTTATCAAAATCCTCATTTTTCCTGATTAAAAGCACTCCCACAACAGCTACAAACAATAGGGTCTTGCAAAAGAAGTTGCCCATTTGGTCAACCAGACCTACTCCAGTCAAGCTATCAACCAGATATGCCATGAAGAACCCTATCATTGCCGCACGGCCTGCATAAAAAAAAACTCACACCAATGAATTAAGGTTAAACAAGCCACTGAGTCAAAGATTAATCTGTCAAGAAAGAGCATAATATAGATTCTGACAAACCATTCACCAATTCAGCTTCAGGTAGATGGAACCTCTTCATCCATGCCCACCAAGGTATAATTGAAGTGTCAAACACTACAGGGTTATCATTACTGGTAGTTTCAGGATTATCCTGGAGCCATTTTCTCCTCCTGACCTCTGAGAAGGTGTTCAAGGAAGTTTGTTACAAACAAAGGATTCACAGAATCAACAGGAAATATTAGATTAGAATGTCAAATATAGCATATATATGCCTCAATGGATCCACCTTCCTTGAAATCAAGCAGAAATAAGATATAAGGGGCTGACACTAATAACCTATACCTGTTTTTTCCCTAATGAATTTCATTCAGGAAGCTAATATATAAATTTAGTGAACATCAGGAATTTTCACGGGAATCCACAGGAACATCCTTTTCTGTTAGATGTTATCTGAGTACAGATCCACTTATGGCTTTTCTCAGTAACACTTTGAACTACCATTCTTTCTCATACTAGCAATAGTTCTAACAACTACCATTCAGAAACTACAGTTCTTTCTCATACTATTGAAACTCTTAACAACTACTTTTCAGAACTTTGAGAAAATATGGCCTTTCAGGGGATCTGTTTTTGAATCAATAATCAACCATTTCATCCATCTGCAATCAGTTAATTATTTGGGAACTCCACCACCATAATTCACAAGAAAATTCACAAGAATTGCAACATTATTATACTATTGTGTTTTCTTGGGCAGAAAACAAGAAATGGTTACTTCCTCCGTGAAAATGGAATTAATAAACTGTCAAGAACCAATTAAATTAGAAATTACCAACGAAATTTTCAGAAAGAAAATCTTACCAGCATCAATAACAGCATCCCAGTCAGTGCTCCCATGTTTCTGAAACTGTTTCAAGTCCCAAGTTCCTCCAATCCACCTAGGATCCTCAAACTTGCCCAAAACCTCAACTTCTGAGCTCGTAGCAGCGCCTTTAGGCCCAGAAGACCCCTCCACGGCCTCTTCAAGTACTGGGTCTGGCTGCTTGGGTTTTGGGTCTTCAACAGCTGCAACTGAAGCTGAACCTCTAGCTCCATTGTCTGGTAAAACCTTGGGAGTGGAAACGAAAAGAAAGGGTCTCTTGAGAGGAAGAAAAAGAGTGGATTTGTGGGTGAAATGGGGTTTGACAGAGAAGGATGTTGGAGGAGGAGAAAACGAGGCCATGGATATGGACATTGATTTGTGTTTTTTGTTTCTTGAGGTTTGGGTTTTTTATGATATGATATAGTGATGAGCTTTTGTTTCTTTTCAGTTTCGGTTCAAGGCTGAGTTTCGTTTGTTTGGAGGTGGATGGGGTGTTCGAGGCTGTCAGCTATCCATCTTTTGACTTTAACAATTAAATGAAGTTGGGAAGTTTTTTTTTTTTGGGGGGGGGAGGCGGGCAGGGGGGGGGGGGGGGTGTGGCTGATGCTTATTTTACAGTTAAACTTCTCGGTTCTTACATTATAAGATAAGATCATAGCCTTGCCCATTTTGGCAGAAATAGGCACCTCTTGCCCTTAAAAAAATCAATCTAAAATAAAAAGAAATAGGCTTGTAAAGTTATTATCATGTGTTTTCATATTCTTTAATTTGAGTAATAATGAATGCTGAATTTGAAAACCATTTTTTTCCTATTTAGATAGATACTAATATTTTCCATTTACTTATACCAATAGCATAAGCATATGGAAAAATCATAGATGTTAGGAGTTTATGCTTCTTTATTTATTTTTCTCTATTAATATCACATCAAGTAGGTGAATGATAAATTTTACATTCATGCAACAGCATTAGAAAGTAGGTTTGAATATGACTAATTATAGAAATGATTTAATGCAACAGTAAATGCAAAGTAGATGCAAACTTTATTGATGAATTTTTACAAGTTGATGGAGAAAATATGAATTTTTTTCTATTTCTTTAATAAAAAAAAAAAGGATTAACACAAGTAACTGTCCTATAAATTAGAACTTAGAATTATATAAACTTATCAAGAAATAAGTAAAAAAATTTTATTGTCATTTAAAAAAACTCTAAATGTAATACAATTAACATATAATTATGAATTTCTGAGTACATGAACTCTCCATTTATATACTAGTATGACAAAAAGGGTTAATGATGCCATTGTCTATATGTTAATAATCATATAATCTGTTAAAAAAATTAAAATTTTAATTTAATGACAAAGATTCAACTATATCTAAAAATGAGAAAATAGAAGTAAGAATGTAAATTGGGCCTGTTATCCACAATAAGAAAATGATGTTTGAATGGCTAACTAGATTTTTTTTTTTTTGAACTTGTTTTTCTACAAACAAAGAGCTTAATTGCACTTGCACATGTCAATTTTTTTTGCTGTAATTTTAAATTTAAAATTTTAAGTATACAGGCACATTTGATTTTTTCAAGGACCTAATGAAAATCATTAATAAAGTAAAATGAAAATTTATAGGAACTGTTGATTAGTTGAAATCAAAGAGTTTTGGTTTTGAATTGACCTTTTTTTATAAGAAAATGGTTGAATTGACCTTTCTAAAGACAGCATAATATTAGGCTCATATTGAAGGTTCTCTCGAGTCCCAACCATAATATATTGGACTCAACTCCCGGTAAGACTGGTTAAAAAAGGAAAGAAAAAAAGACCAGTTAGATACATGAATTATACCAAGTAGTCAACATGAACGAATATTATTGTGTTGTGTGCTAGCAGAAAAAATTACTTGGTTGACATGATTATTAATGTTATTCATTCTTTGTTGACGTTGTTATAATTCAAATCCAAAACCATGTTCATACTTGTTTGACCAGTTCAAAATAGAAGCTTCTAACAATTATTCATGTTATGCTATTGATTAGCACCAAAGTTGACATTTCTGTTGTTTGCCCATTCTTTCTGTTCTTGTTTCCATCCTGTTTTCGTGACTGCAATGCCCTTTTTTTGTTCATAGGATTTGGAGATAGGAGAGGGGATGGCTTGGAAGAACCAAGAGCAACTAAGAAATAGCAGTATCTATCAATTACAAGGATAGCATGGCAAGCTTGGATCCTAAACCAACCATGATTAACAGCTACTAATATCAACCATGTTTCTTCCACATTCATTTTTTTTTCTCTGGTATTTGCAACCCATGCTGTAGAATCGCCAAGTGAAAGAGTAGGAAGAAGAGCCACCTACCCACTTCACAAAATAGTACAAGAATTTATATTTATGCACACTTATCCTAAGAAAAAATCACACTCGTAATCTTCTTTCCAACTGGCCGACATCAATTCAAACGTGCCAATGCTTAAAAATTTTCAAGATCAATTTGTTATTACAAAACCTGCAAAAAACAGAGGAAAAAAAAAAAAAAACAGTGCTCTCACCCATAATTTTGAAGTCTTTAACTTAAAATTCTCCACTACAAGTGACATTACTCTAAGAGCTTAGATGATGGCTTTTGGGTGGGTTATTGCAGCTGTTATTAAACTAACGCTTTTCTCTTCTAAGTCAGTCAACAATACTTATCAGCTTATTAAAGATGGTACTGCTGGCTTAAATTTGATAGAAAGACTTGGTGTTGGTGGGATTTTCCGATTCAAATTTTGTTTTTGACTAAAAACAAGCTACGTTTAAGAGGTAACGTTACATGATTCCATGGTTATGTAAACATATTAAGAGTTCACTAAAGTCACTCTATTCCATATTGTTGTTATTGTCCACAAAGACAAGAGGAGCAACGTCTCCATGCCTTATTTTCCATTGACCTGCAAAATGTCCAAGTTTTTAGTTACTTTCCGGTAGAAAATGTTGAATATGTTAAGGTTTACCGGGTCTTTCACGTTTGCTACGCTAATTTGTTAAAATCTTCGAATTGTCACAAGGAGTTCTGCTATGTTCCTATTGACATCTTCAAGATTAGGCTATTCACAGATTGGTGCAAAAACTTCTGTTTCTGAGCTTAGAATGGATCATAGATTGAAGAAGGCTGCTGAGAATGGAGATGTTGATATGCTATATGCGTTACTCGCTCAGGATCCATACCTTTTGGATCGTATTGATCAGATTCCAATTGTTGAGACTCCATTACATGTTGCTGCATGCTTTGGGATGACTCATTTTGCTTTGGAAATTGCTACCTTGAAGTCATCTCTTGCACTGAAGTTGAACCATATTGGCCTTAGCCCCATGCATCTGGCTCTACAAAATGGGCATATCCACACGGTAAGGGGGCTTATAACAATTGATCCTGAGCTCATTCGGGTAAAAGGAAGGGGGAGGATTACTCCTTTGCACTATGTAGCTGGAACAGAAGAACTCGATCTCTTGGCTGAATTTTTATCAGTTTGTCCAGGTTCCATCGAGGATTTAACTGTTCGTTGTGAGACTGCAGTCCATGTTGCTGTGAAAAATCACAAGTCTAGAGCTGTTAATGTCCTGGTTGGTTGGCTTCAGCGTGTGAACAAGGAAGAGATCCTGAACTGGAAGGATGAGGATGGTAACACTGTCTTGCATATTACAGCATGTACAAATCAACCTGAGGTCAGTAATACCAGTCATAGCAGCAGTTACTGCATTATATTAAGTAGCCTGCAAATGTTGTCCTTGTCCTAACATTAGTTGCTATTTTCCATTGCATTTCAGCTGGGAACATGCTAATTTCTAAACATCCATTAATAACTCTGAATATTATTAGCTCAAGACACAGAGTTCCCCTGTCTTCCCCAGTTCCCTTGCTTATCATCTCAATTTGAAGAAGTCTTTGCATCATTCATGTTATTTTGTCTTGAAAACCCTAAATATCATTCATATTAATTTGATTAAACATTTAATCAAATTATGTCTTCCTCTTTGTGAAGGTCATGAAGTCAATTATTAGGAATGTGAATGTAAATGCAAAGAATCTTCAAGAATTGACAGCTATGGACATCTGCCTTCAACACGAATTACAACGGACAAAAGTTGGGGATATTCTTCGCAGTGCCAAAGCTAAACCGGCTTCTTCTCTTGCTACCTTTACCTTAAGCCTTGCAAATTACTTAAGTCAGGAACTATCACTCCTAGAGAAAAGGGACAAGTACCTAGGGCTTAAAGGCCAAAATGAAAGGAAATCCCCTAGCAACATCGGAAATGTAATACTTGTGGTGGCTATATTGATTGCAACGGCCGCTTACCAAGCTGTTCTCAGCCCTCCTGGTGGATATTGGCAAGATGACTACAATCCTCCGGCCAACAACACCTACAATCTCTCTGCCACCAACCTGGGGAAAGGAGAACAGCGACCACATCGGGCAGGAAATATGATCATGGCCCCAACGAGTGTCATCTTCTTTTTCACCCTTAATAGTGTGGCCTTTTATGCATCCGTATCCACCATTCTTATAATCATAATGGGCCTCCCTTACTCTACCACATTATATGTTTCAGCATGTTTTTTCTTATTAGCTTATTCGTCTTTATTGGCACACTCCTACCCCTATCCGCCACATCAAAGTTTAACAAATAAAGTTGCAGGTCTTACATATGTGCATGTAACTTACCTGTTCTCGGCAGTGATTATTGTGATTTCTTTGGTGGCATTTGTTCGACATAAGAGGCAGAAGTGGAGAGTAGATTTTCTGACAAGAAATCTAAAGGATGCGATATAAACATGGAAAAATAGCATACAATTTTGTCAATAACTTTGACCTCTAGCTAGCATGGGGATGTTTCAAAGTTTATGCTGCAACTGAAATCAACATCGAATTTGATTTTACAGCTGTTATGATCGGAACCTTACCTTTGGCTTGCGTTGATTTACTTTTCACTTGTCATTGATTGAATATATTAGTATGTAAAAACTAAATTCATCTGTCTTTTACGTTTAAAAAATAGAAATAAATTTCCAAGAATAAGGCGAAGGCATGAAAAGCTTGAACTTGAAAGACTTCCTTTAAAACGACCCGTTTTGCCAAAAATAAAAGGAAAAACATTTATGGTCTAACCCGAACCATTCCTAGATTCCGGGTCGGACATGGTCCGGATATGACTTCTCTTTCCTCTTCTTCCTTGTAGTTGCTATTCTGGAACACTGTCTCCCAAAATACCGCTCTCTCGAAGCACAATAGCCATCAATGGAGGTCGCAACCGCAATCGCAGTCGCATCAGGCTTCGCTTTCCACGCGTATGTGTTATCACCCCCAACCTCCGCTCGAACCGTAAACCCTAACCGAACCCCTAACGTCTCCTCCGTCGACTTCTCTCCTAGCTTTCCTCTTCACTAATTTCCTCTTCCCCTTTCCCGACATCGGAAGCGTCTTGGGAGATTTATCCGGACTCAAGCTACGACCCGACTCTCTCAACCTCGCTTCTCTCTCCCGGTCCAAGCCCAAACGAGGTGTCATCACCATGGTACACTTTCAAATCATTTTAATTTAATCTAAATTTCCTTACTTTACTTATCTAGGGTTTTCAAAATGTTTACTAATTGTGCTAAAACTGCTGATAGTTAGAAAGTAGGCAATTTTATTTTATAAGAATGCTGAAAAGTTAATATTGATGCTAATCTTAAGTTCGGGTATCGTATCATTGTGGAATTGCCCTATTTAAGGTCAAGTTATACGAGATTAGACAAGGGTGAAATTGAATAAATTCATTTTTTGGCGTTGGCCCGGAATTTTGTGGATGGGATATTCCATTTTCGAGGGGAAGTACATGGGAGCAACCTCCACCGGACTTAGCATCATATTTGTACAAGAATTGGATAGTTTACTTGGGAATGTCGCTTGTTCCTTCTGTCACAGAGTTGATACTGGCTGAGTTTCTTTACCTTCAGTATGAAGATACGGAGAAGCTATTTACTTGTACATAAACTTCGCCGGAACAACCAAGGTATAATTTTGCTTATCGGAAATTGGAAACCATGTTCTAGAGGCCCAAATGTAGTTTTTTCTGTGATTAGTGGCATCATAATTTTCATTGGATGTTAAATGAATGGTAAGAAATTCAAACTTTTGTTTAGAAAGTATTTTGAACCTTTCTTATTTTCATCGCATGCTAAATGTATTGAATGTGAACTTAGAAAGTAAAAGAATTCTCTATTACTTTCTCTTTTGCATTATTATGGTGCTTAAGAAAGGAAAGAAAATGTTGCACTAGTTTGCTTCATATTTAACACTTTCAATAGGATTTTTCGCCATGGATAGGGACATTCATTTGTGTTTTCAGTTTTATTTTGTTTTTTAAGGTTTGGGGTTTTTATGATGGTGAAGTGATGAGCTTTTGTTTCTTTTCACTTTCAGTTCATGGCTGAGTTTAGTTTGTTTGGAAGTAAATGGGGTGTTTGAGGTTGTCAGCTATCTGTCTTTTTGACTTAAACAATTAAATGAAGTTGGGCAGTTTAGGCGACTCATGCTCTTTTTTTAGTAAGACTTCTCAGTTCTACAATCTAAGGTAAGATGATAGCCTAGCCCTTTTTCTCTTTTTGGTAGAAATGGGTGACTCTTGCCCTTGATATTATAATTTTCATTAGTAATAAAAGGGAAAAAAAATAAATAGAAAAAGGCCTGTAAAGTTATCATCATGTGTTTTCATGTTTAATTTGAGTAATAATGAATGCTGAACTTGAAAACCATTTTTTTTCCTATTTACATAGATACTAATATTTTCCATTTACTTATACCAATGGCATAAGCATAACGAAAAATCATAAATGTAGGGAATTTATGCTTCTTTATTTATTTTTCTCTATTAATATCCCATCAAGCAGGTAAATGATAAATGTTACATTCATGCAACAGTATTAGAAAGTAGGTTTGAATATGACTAATTGTAGAAATGAATTAATGCAACAGTTAATGCAATGTAGATGCAAACTTTATTGATGAATTTTTACAAGTTGATGGAGAAAATATGAATTTTTTTCTATTTCTTTAATAAAAAAAGGATTAACACAAGTAATTGTCCTATAAATTAAAACTTAGAATCATATAAACTTATTAAGAAATAAGTAAAAAATTTTTCTTGTCATTTAAAAAAACTCTAAATGTAGTGCAATTAACATATAATTATGGATTTATGAGTACACGAACTCTCAATTTAAATACTAGTATGACAAAAAGGTTAATGATGCCTTGGTCTATATGTTAATAATCATAAAATCTGTTAAAAAAATTAAAATTTTAATTTAATGACAAAGATTCAACTGTATCTAAAAATGAGAAAATAGAAGTCAAAATGTAAATTGAGCCTGTTATCCACAATGAGAAAATGATGTTTGAATAACTAACTAGATTTTTTTTTTAACCTGTTTTTGTATAAACAAAAAGCTTAATTGAACTTGCACATGTCAATTTTAAATATACATGCACATTTGATTTTTCAAGGACCTAATGAAAATCATTAATAGAGCAAGTAAATTAAGATTTATAGGAACTGTTGATTAGTTGAAATCAAAGAGTTTTTGGTTTTGAATTGACCTTTTTTTTTATAAGAAAATGGTTGAATTGACCTTTTTTAAGACAACGTATTATTAGGTTCATATTCAAGGTCCTCTCGGGTCCCAATCATAATATATTGGACTCAGCTCCCTATGAGACTGGTAAAAGAAAGAAAAAAAAAAAAAGAAAAGAAAACTAGTTAGATACATGAACGGTACCAAGTAGTCAACAGGTATGAATATTATTGTGTTGTGTGCTAGCAGAAAAAATTAATTAGTTGACATGATTGTTAATGTTATTTATTTTTGTTGGACTGTTGTTATAATTCAAATCCTTAGTTGACATGATTGTTAATGTTATTTATTCTTTGTTGACTGTTGTTATAATTCAAATCCAAAACCATGTTCATGCATGTTTGACCAGTTCAAAATAGAAGCTTCTGACAATTATTCATGTTATGCTATTGATTAGTGCCAAAGCTGACATTTCTGTTGTTTGCCCATTCTTCTTTCTGTTCTTGTTTCCATCCTGTTTTCGTGATTGCCAATGCCTTTTTTTGGTTCACAGGATTTGGAGATGGGAGAGGGGATGGCTTGGAAGAACCAAGAGCAACTAGGAAATAGCAGTATCTATCAATTACAAGAATAGCATGGCAAGCTTGGACCCTAAACCAACCATGATTAGCAGCTACTACTATCTACTATGTTTCTTCCCCATTCGTTTTTTTTTAATCTGGTATTTGCGACCCATGCTGTAGAATGGCCAACTGAAAGAGCAGGAAGAAAAGCCACCTACCTACTTCACAAATAAAATAGTACAAGAATTTATATTTATGCACACTTACCCTCTGGAAAAAACACACTTGTAATCTTCCTTCCCGCTGGCCGACGTCAATTTAAACGTGCCAATGCTTGAAATTTTTCAATATCAATTTATGATTACAAAACCTGCAAAAACAGAACAAAATTAAAGAGTGCTCTCACCCCTAATTTTTGAAGTCATTAACTTAAAATTCTCCACCACAAGTGACAGCACTCTAAGAGCTTAGCTACTTGCTTACTGGTTTGACAGTCGTGGCAGTGCGTTGCAACCTACCAAATGATGGCTTTTGGGTGGGTTATTGCAGTTGTTTCTAAACTAGCGCCTTTCTCTTCATGGCTTTTGGGTGGGTTATTGCAGTTGTTACTAAACTAACGCTTTTCTCTTCTGAGTCGGTCAACAATACTTATCAGCCTATTAAAGATGGTAGTACTGATTTAGATTTGATAGGACAGACTTGGTGTTGGTGGGATTTTACGATCAGATTTTGTTTTTGACTAAAAACAAGCTACGTTTAAGAGGTAACGCTACATGATTCTATGGTAACGTAATCATATTAAGAGTTCACTAACGTCGGTCTACTCCATCTTCTTGTTATTGTCCACAAAGACAAGAGAAGCAAAGTCTCCATTCCTCATTTTCCATTGACCTGCCAAATGTCCAAAATTTTAATTACTTTCCTGTAGAAAATGTAGAATATGTTAAGGTTTACCGGGTCTTTCACGTTTGCCACGCTAATTTGTTAAAATCTTCGAATTGTTGACAAGGAGTCCTGCTATATTCATATTGACATCTTCAAGATTAGGCTATTCATAGATTGGTGCAAAAACTTTCGTTTCTGAGCTTAGAATGGATCACAGATTGAAGAAGGCTGCTGAGAATGGAGATGTAGATATGCTATATGCGTTACTCGCTCAGGATCCATACCTTTTGGATCGTATTGATCAGATTCCAATTGTTGAGACTCCATTACATGTTGCTGCATGCTTTGGGATGACTCATTTTGCTTTGGAAATTGCTACCCTGAAGCCATCTCTTGCACTTAAGCTGAACCATATTGGCCTTAGCCCCATGCATCTGGCTCTACAAAATGGACATATCCACACAGTAAGAGGGCTTATAACAATTGATCCTGAGCTCATTCGGGTAAAAGGAAGGGGGAGGTTTACTCCTTTGCACTATGTAGCTGGAACAGAAGAACTCGATCTCTTGGCTGAATTTTTATCAGTTTGTCCAGGTTCCATCGAGGATTTAACTGTTCGTTGTGAGACTGCAGTTCATGTTGCTGTGAAAAATCACAAGTCTAGAGCTGTTAATGTCCTGGTTGGTTGGCTTAAGCGTGTGAACAAGGAAGAGATCCTGAACTGGAAGGATGAGGATGGTAACACTATCTTGCATATTACAGCATGTACAAATCAACCCGAGGTCAGTGGTACCAGTCATAGCAGCAGTTGCTGCATTATTTTAAGTAGCCTGCAACTGTTGCCCTTGTCCTAGCATTAGTTGCTATTTTCCATTGCATTTCAGCTGGGAACATGCTAATTTCTAAACATCCATTAATTACTCAGAATATTATTAGCTCAAGAAACAGAGCTCCTGTCTTCCCCAGTTCCCTGCCTTGCCATCTCACTTTGAAGACGTCTTTGCATCATTCATGCTATTTTGTCTTGAAAACTCCAAACATCATTCATGTTCATTTATCAAATTATGTCTTCCTCTTTGTGAAGGTCATGAAGTCAATTATTAGGAATGTGAATGTGAATGCAAAGAATCTCCAAGATTTAACAGCTATGGACATCTGCCTTCAACACGAATTACAGCAGACAGAAGTTGGGGATATTCTTCGCAGTGCCAAAGCTAAACGGGCTTCATCTCTTGCTACCTTTACCATAAGCCTTGCAAATTACTTAAGTCAGGAACTATCGCTCCTAGAGAAAAGGGACAAGTACCTAGGGCTTAAAGGCCAAAATAAAAGGAAATCCCCCAGCAACATCGGAAATGTAATACTTGTGGTGGCTATATTGATGGCAACAGCCGCTTACCAAGCTGTTCTCAGCCCTCCAGGTGGATTTTGGCAAGATGACTACAATCCGCCAGTCAACAACACCTACAATCTCTCTGCCACAAACCTGAGGAATGGAGATCAGCGACCACATTGGGCAGGAGATATGATCAACTCCCCAACGAATATCATCTTCTTTTTCACCCTTAATAGTGCGACCTTTTATGCATCCGTATCCACCATTCTTATAATCATAATGGGGCTCCCTTACTCTACCACATTATATATTTCAGCATGTTTTTTCTTATTAGCTTATTCGTCTTTATTGGCAGACACCTACCCCTATCCGCCTCATCAAAGTTTAACAAAGAAAGTTGCAGGTCTTGCATATGTGCATGTAACTTACCTGTTCTCGGCCATGATTATCGTGATTACGTTGGTGGCATTTGTTCGACATAAGAGGCGGAAGTGGAGAGTAGATTTTCTGACAAGAAATCTGGGGGATGCTATATGAACATGTAAAACCTGCAGACAATTTCCTCTAACACATTATGTTTCACCCATAGTTAGCATGGGGCTGTTTCGACTTACGAGTTTCCGCTGTAACTGACGGAATTTGATTTTATTGCTATGATCGGAACATTTTTTTAAAATTATAAATATAAAAAAAAATTACACTTATAATTAAATGTTATATTATTAAATAATAAAAAAATTAATAGGCAAATAAAAATTAAACATAAAATCAAATCAAGCTTTAATACGAGATTTGAATCTACCTTAAAATTATAAAATCTTTTCCTTACGACTAAATAAAAGGTTTATTGGCTGATTTTAATATTACTTCAAATTTTACATATAAATTGAGTTCATTTTTTATACATTCACAATATAATTTTTTTAGAACTCTTGTATTATCCTTAGCCGATCAACATGAAGAGATTGATAGTTTTAGTGTATTTATTCAGCAAATTTTTTCATCTGTTTTTTTCTTCAATTTTTTTGGCCAATTCATCTGTTTTTATTATTAAAAAATAGAAATAAATTTCCAAGAATAAGGCGAAAGCCTGAAGAGCTGAAACTTGAAAGGCTTCCTTGTAAACGACGCCGTTTATAAGGGAAGATACGAATGAAAAGAAGGAATCCTCTCTCCCTTTCCCGCCATCGGAAGCGTCTCGGGAGATTTATCCGGACAAAAGCTACGACCCGACTCTCTCAACCCTGCTTCTCTAATCTCTCTCCCGGTCCAAGCCCAAACGAGGTGTCATCACCATAGTACACTTTCAAATCATTTTAATTTAATCTAAATTTCCTTACTTTACTTATCTAGGGTTTTCAAAATGTTTACTAATTGTGCTAAAACGGCTAATAGTTAGAAAGTAGGCAATTTTATTTTATAAGAATGCTGAAAAGTTAATATTATACTAATCTTTAGTTTGAGTATCATATCACAGTTGAATTGCCCTATTTAAGATCAAGTTATATGAGATTAGACAAGGGTGAAATTGAGTAAATTCATTTTTTGGTGTTTGCCCGTAATTTTGTGGATAGGTTATTCCATTTTCAGGGGAAGTGCATGGGAGCAATCTTCACCGGACTTAGCATCATATGTGTACAAGAACTGGATAGTTTACTTGGCAATGTCGCTTGTTCCTTCTGTTACAGAGTTGATACTGGCCGAGTTTCTTTAACTTCAGTATGAAGATGCAGAGAAGCCTATTTACTTGTACATAAACTCCACTGGAACAACCATGGTATGATTTTCTTACCGAAAATTGGAAACCATGTTCTAGAGGCATAAATGTAGTTTTTTCTGTGATTAGTGGCATCGTAATTTGCATTGGATGTTAAATGAATGGTAAGAAATTCAAACTTTTGTTTAGAAAGTATTTTGAATCTGTCTTATTTTAGTTTCTCTTAAGAATTAAAACGTATTGAATGTGAACTTAGTAAGTAAAAGAATTCTCTTTTACTTTTCTTTTGCATTATTATGGTACCTGAGAGATGAAACAAAATGTTGCATTAGTTTGCTTCCCTTTTAACACTATTAATAGGATTTTTCGCTTTTTTCACGGTGGCTAGAAGTTGGGTTATGAGACTGAGGCTTTTGCGATCTATGATGTTATGGGGTCATTACGCTTTTGGCTTTTTAATTCATTTTTTATTTCACAGTTGACTTGTTTTATGAGCGGCACAAAATATGCGCTTATTAAGTGTTGGAATGATCTGAATTCTCTTCCTGGATTCAGGGCAGTAGTTTCAGCCTAGATATCAAAATACAGCAGTATCAATTACTATCAAATATTTAATGCATTATTCTTTGCGAATGATGCTGGGTCCTTGTACCTTCCACATTTCTATAGGCAGTATGTTATTTAGTCATGGTGAAGCCTAGTTACTCGTCGATTTTCTTCTTCCTAGACGCTACTTAAATACTAAATGCCTTAAGCTTGAAAATGTTTCTGAATGTATAACATTTACAAACCTCTGTACATCCTTGTCCTTCCATAACAGCTTCCAAGCTTTATTTTTTGTGTTTCTGATTACTTTCTTTCACTGCAGGTATGTCAAGCCTCCTATTTTTACTCTCTGTGTTGGTAATGCTTGGGGAGAAGATGCATTACTTTTAGCTGCTGGTGCAACAGGAAATCATTCTACACTTCCTTCATCTACAATAATGATAAGGCAGGTTGGTTGTTGGACAGTGGATCTCTGATGCTCTAAACTATCAATTTTTTCTGTTATTTTGCTTTGACACATTTAACCTGAATGTTTATTATTTATTATTTTTTCCTCTACCAATCTGCAGCCAGTTGCTAGATTTCAAGGTCAAGCAACAGATGTTGACCTTGCAAGAAAGGAAGTAAAGAATGTGAAAACAGTGTTGGCAAGAAAATGTTCTACCTAGTTAAGGATTCTGATTATACACCAGACTTACATTTAAAAACACCATGGTCCTACTTAAACAACTTTGTATTTGCTTGAACTTCTATGACTAAACTGCAGACTGTAGACTGTATATATTTGTTTATAAATCTACTCTTTAAAGCTGACTTTGCAAACTCTGCTGGTGGATTTCCATCCCAACTTGGGCTAATACAACTGCATGTTTTTATATGAATTATACTCAAGGTTGACCTCTATGCAAAACACATGGGAAAATCAACTGAGCTGATTGAAGAAGATACAAGGTGCCCAAAATATTATAGCCCCAGTGAAGTAGTTGAATATGGCATCATAGGTAAGGTTCTTTTACTTGAAGGAGTTTTTTGGTCTATTCTAATTTTCATGCACTGCTATACTATATTTATCCAATAACATTCTGTAGGTATTATACAATGAAAGGAGTGCTGAAGACTGTGGTGTTGTTTCTGACCTAAAAAAGGCACAACTTATTTGAACATAGGAGAACTTGTACTTGTGACTGTTAAATCTGCTGAGGTAAAACAGTTTTGTTTTCTCTTGAATTGTCTGATTGATTCATTGCTTGTTATATGTTCTCTGATTGATTCATTGCTTGTTATATGTTCTAGATATCTTTTTCCACAATAGTTCTTCAGTAACAGAAAATGCATTTTTAGAAGGAATTATGTCTAAAGGATAGCTGTATTTTATCCTGGACTCCTTTTTGGTCACTCGTAATTATTTGCACTACAGTTTTTTTTTTCTTTTTTTTGTGTTCTACAATTTTAATTGAACTTAGACTGTAGTAAATTGAGGGTACTTGTTACCACAGGATCCAATTAATCTATTGTATACTTGAGCATTGATTATTTTTAGAAATACTGATACTTAGATGCATTTCAACTACCCATGTGGCTTCTAGTGTTTTTAGATGTCACCAAGCAATATACCATGATTTTGCTGGGTATTCGTTATCTTTTTTGTGAAATCTCTACCTCTTAAATGAAATGATTCATTGTCCTGTTTCTTGACTTATGGAGACTTTGATTGCTAATTGTGAAGGATGAAAGAGAAAAAAACCTTTATAGACATGTTATGCCTTAATTGAACATTAGCTCTTTGATCTCTATCACACACCTCTCTTTCCATTTCCACACCCACAATGGTTCTAGGTTCTGCTCGTAACTGGTACATTTCTGTACAAGTGTGTTGTGGAATAGAAATGTATTTACTTGTTTTATTGTCTCACCACCTTTGCTATTATTGCTCTTTCTGTCCAACCTAAAGTCTGTAACGAGAGACACTTAGAAAAGTGCATCAGCTATTGTTGCTTGTTTGACTATATGTTCATCTGCTTTACACCTTGCATTTGCTTTTTAGTGGTTCCGTTAAGATTGCTGGGGTTGTATTGAGAATGACCAAAGAGGAAATTTGGATAGTGGTGTGCTTTGTTGCACAAACTTGTTAGTTTAGCTTCCTCATTGGATAACCTTTTGCTCCTCCCTTCATCCTAAACATCACAAGCGTCAGAAGGAGATTCTAAGTCGAAGATGGTATTTTGCATGTAGATCATGGACGTATTTTGGTCCCCACTTCTCAACAGTGTCTTTTCCATTATTTGCTCAAGTGGCAAGAACTTGTTAATGGAGTGATCTCATTATTTAAGCCAATAAAAGTGGCAGTCACTATCTCAAAACTCTTTATCAATCCTTCTTACCTATCTTTCTGAAATGTGAAAGTATCAATTTAATCGAAACAAAGTACATAATACATGTTTATGAAGATCAGATTGTTTGTCAAAATTTATCATAAATTTTTAAATATTTTCTAGCTGATCTGATATGCTGTTTATTACAACAGTATAGATTGAGTTGAAGCATGACTATAGAAGCTGAGAACAGTCTGTACTTTGTTGGGGGATCAAAGCCATGGGAATGGGAATCATAATAATGGATATGCTGTCTCAGCAGGTGTATCAGTCTCATTTGTAGCAAAAAGTTATTTGCTCTGTTTATCTTAGGTTCAACAAATTCTATTTTAGTTGTTTAAACATTAATTAATTGTAATTAAATTTTTATTTTATTTTTTCCTTTCTCCCCCTCTTTTGCCAAGTGTGTATGGTTTACTTTAACTTTAGTCTCTTTACATTGCTAGTCTTTGCTGAGATAATCTCCTTAGATGATTTAAAAATAAGAAATTGCCATGTATATTAACATTTAAGAACCTGCAATGATTTTTTTTCAAACAGAAAAATTCAATCGGCATGGATGGATTTATCAAAGTTTCTCTTCATGTACTGTGTGGAAAAACAGCAGTACCTATCAATTGCAATGAAATCTGTTAACAATAACTCATTTGGAAGAAGCAAGAGCAACTACCATAAAATCACTGATCCAAAGGCGTGAAGGATAGCATGGAGCTTGGACCCTAAACCAACCATGATTAGCAGCTACTACTACGTTTCTTCCCCATTTTTATTTTTTTTTTTTGTTATTTACAACCCAATTTGCTGTACATTCGCCAAGTGGAAGAGCAGGAAGAAAAGCCACCTATCCACCACTTCACAAATAAAATAGTACTACAATAATTTATATTTATGCACACTAACCTCTAGAAAAATCACACTAGTAAATCTTCTTTTCCACACATGCCGACATCAATTCAAACGTGCCAAGACTTGAAAATCTTCAAGATCAATTTGTTATTACAAAACCTGCTAAAACAGAAAAAATTAAGAGTGCTCTCACCCTAATTTTTTAAGTCTTTAACCTAAAATTATCCACCAGAAATGGTAGTATTTTAAGGTTATGTTTGATATACAAAATAATATTAAAATAAGATTAGATTAAATAATATCATCTTATTTTATGTTTAATATATATAAAAATTAAAATAAAATAATTTATTTATTTATTAAAATTATTCTTCTTCAATATTTATATAATTTATTATTGATGTAATTTTTAAAAGTATAATTGAACATGTAAGTTTAATCTTATGAATTAAAAGTAATCCTCTTCACTTGGAGAGGATGAATAATCCTATATTAAGAGGATATTAATCCTCCTTACAATCATTATCCCTTTTTTTAGATATAAATCAAATATGATATAAAATGATTATCACTCTCTCCCATCATTAATCCTATGTATCAAGCATGACCAAAGAGCTTAGCCACTCAGCTACTGGTTTCACAGTCGTTGTAGTGCGCTAGAACCAACCGAAATGATGGCTTTTTGGTGGGTTATTGCAGTTGTTGCTATACTTAGCCAGCGATTTTCTGTTTTGAGTCAGTCAACGTAACTTAATCAGCTTATTAAAGATGATTCTGCAAGTTGAAATTCGATAGAACAGACTTGGTGTTAGTGGGATTATCCGATTAGCTTTTTGTTTTTGACTAAAAAAAAGCAACGTTTAGGAGGTATTGTTACATGATTCTATGGTAATGTAATCATATTAAGATGAAAATTTTCAAGTTTGTATCGCTATCCCAAAGTTAAAGAACTGAAAATATTCTGGATCTTAAAAGGATTGAATTCTAAATCCAGCTAAACCTGCTGATGGACATTACCTGAACATGGGAAAATGATGACTTTTATTTTACGGAAATGGAAAATTGTAATGTTTTCAGTCAGCTGATTGTTTTATCTCTATTCTTCATGCTTTTAACTTCTTCAGGCATCAATGTATTTGGTGCAATCTTTAAGAATGAGGCTGCTTTGTCTTATAATTTCGTCTTTCAATTAGTTTTTTTGATAGGTGGGGATGAGGAGATATTGAGAAAAAAGAATACAAATATCTTGCCTTTAGTCTTTCATATATAGTTGAAACCAATAGGATAAACAAATATTTTAGTCCGTACAGCACTAATTTTTCACGCCTAAACTTTCAACATCAACCAGAAGAAATATACACGAAGCTGCCAATAAGTGAAGGGAATGTATACAGAAGTTAGGCAGAATATTTTTCAATAGAACACGTATCCAAATTCAAGCAAGGGTCTTAAGGGGGTCAATAATGGGGGTCTACATATGATACATGTACACACATCATTCATCTTAATCCTACTGCCTTAAACCCTTTGTGTACTGCACCTAGCTAGCTCTAATTGGTGGAAGAAAAAAGGTATAGCAATTTGCTCAACAGCAGCCTCTTGCCCTCAGCTATAAATATGGGATTCTGATTTCTTAGATTCCCATCTCAGTAGCTCATTCAACTTCTCTCTCTTTAATTCCAAGTTCTTCTCTTTCTTGGTTACATTGCTATAAATTTTGTAGCAGAAATAAGGGGTTCTCCCTAAAATTTCATTGTTGCCTTGTGTCTGTCATGGTGCTCTTGCCTGCACTGTGCTACTCTCAGGACTATTTCGTACGGTCCAGAGCAACTTACTATGGCATTCCTGACTGCTTAGGGACTCCAAGTACGCACATTTCTCCAATAATACAAGCATATTTATTGCATGTTTATTAATTACTAGTATTTGCATATAACGTAAGGTATCTCAACACCACGAGTTTTTTAAATTGACAAGTGAATATACACTTTAAATTCTCAAATTACATGTCTACAAGTGGGGGGTAAAAGCACATGCGCATGCAATGTTTATAATATCGTTTTATGTGAGGTAACAATTGATTATGTGAATTTAGGTGGAGCTTGTGGGTTTGGAGAATATAGAAGGACTGCCAATGATGCGAATGTGGCTGGGGTTTCCAGGCTCTACAAGAACGGAACCGGCTGTGGTGCTTGCTATCAGGTAAAAACTTCAAGACAATCATTTTATCAGCTTTGAAAGTGACGGATAAAGCAGGCAGACAGCCAAAGGAGTTCGGCGGAAGCTTCCTCAAATCAAACCAATTTCCACTCAACCTTTAAAATATATTTATATGTATCTTCCCCACAACTACTTAAAAATAATTAAAATATCATGATCATTAATTAATTTGGCACTAATAAATGAACAAGTGGTTTCTTATTTTATGTTGGTAATTAGTGACACTTGATATTGTTTAACTAAACAACTCTCAGGTTAGGTGCACAAACCCTTACCTCTGTACTGATAATGGGGTGAACATAGTGGTGACAGACTATGGCGAAGGAGACAACACCGATTTCATCCTCAGCCCCCGTGCGTACGCAAGGATGGCACGATCAGACACCGCAGCGCAGCTGTTTGCTTATGGCGTAGTTGACGTAGAATACCAGAGAATCCCATGTAGCTACGGTGGTTACAAGCTCCAGATTAAGGTTAACGGACATAGCAGATACCCAAGTTACCTGGCCATTGTAATCCAGTACCAACCTGGCAACAAGGAAATCCTAGCCGTTGATATTTGGCAGGTAAAACATTGTTACAATGCTAGTAGAAACTGAATTCAGTAATTTCAAAAAAGCAGGAGTCAAAAGCATGCAGCATTTATACTTGTTGGCGATGTGCGGGAGGATTGTAAAGAATGGATAGGAATGAGGAGGGCGTATGGGGCAGTTTTCGACATGGCTAATCCGCCATCGGGACCTGTGAGTTTGAGGTTCCAAGTGCATGGCAGCCCCGGCTTGACATGGGTGCAGCACCAAATATCATTCCCGGTGATTGGAAAATTGGAGTTGCTTATGAATCAGATATTCAGCTTGATTAAAGTGCATCAGAATTGCACCACTTCTAAAAAAGATAGCAAAGTGCTTAAGCTTTGCTTGTGCTCAATAAAAAAAGTTGCGTATATATATATATACTTTTGCTTGATGTATGTTGATCAATCAAAAAGGTTGCACTTGAAAGACATTTTCCTTATTTTTTTTTTATTAATTGTGTATTAATTTTTATAATTAAGAAAATTTTAAAAAAAACAAAAGTATTAAATATTCAAAAATAAAAATGATATAATTTTCTGACATTCTAAAAAATGAGAGATCGAGTAAGCAGCAAATAAGAAAATTTTTGGTAAAAACAATTATGGGCTTAGTTTTTGTACCAAAATAGTGATTAGACTCAATTTGCTCTACGTTCCCTTTTTCCCATATCACAAATATGTCTTCGTCTTGGGCTCTTATGAAATTTCTCTCCATTTGGGTTTGGACAAGTGGGCTTTCATGGGCTTCTTTTGATCGGATTGTATATTTCAAATCAAGCAGCCACCTCTATTGGAAGTTGCCAATGTGTCAACATCCTCCCCCCGTCCCATTTTTTATAATATTAACATGCCCATTTGACTGCAAATTGTAATTGTTTTTGGTTTTGGTTTTGGTCCTTTTGGAGGAGCAAATTAATTACACTGGCTAAATTTTGAAATGAAATTAGCCCAAACAAAAGTACGGACAGCATAATGGCCTCGAGCACAAATCAGTGTAAATCGATTTAACTCAAAAATAATTAACTCAATTTGATCTAACCGATTTTGATTATAATTAATTTTTTAATTCGATTAAGTTAATTAAATTGATTATTTTTTATTTTTAAAATTAATAATTAAATTAATCAAATTAATTGATTTTTTAATAAATAAAAGTAAAAATATTGAGGTAAATATTTTTATTTTATTAAAAAATATTATTAAAATTATTAAATTTTTTAATATTTAATTTAAAATGATACTTAAATTTAAATTTTATTTGATTAAATTTATAATTAAATAATTATTTATAATATAAAAAAATAAAAAATTTAATTATTTAACAGTCATAATCGATCAAATCAAATGGATTTTAATCAATTGTTATGATCAATTATGTTTAATTATTTAAAAATTTTTAATCAATTCCCTTATTTGTTGAATTAAATTATTTGTTAAAAAATAATTAATTAATTCTTTTATTAATTTTTTTAATCAAACTGATAGAATCGATTAATTGTTCACCTCTACAGCAGAATTTCTTGGACCGGATAATCTGAGGAACAAGAGAGAGAGAGAGAGAGAGAGTACAGCCACAAGCCCACTTTTTATTTCTAGTATAGTTTCAACATAAGGTCAGACTCATGACAAAGTGACGCAGCTTCAACAACAAAGAGAAAACAGTAGTACCTTTATATAAAAAATAAATAAAACAAAAAAAGAAAACAGCAGTAATTTATAAGGTCCAAACTCTAAATAAGTTCTCCATGAGATCCTAGTCCTATCAAGGTTGCTCCATAATACACAAAGCACGGCGAAGTTACATAAGTCAATTTTCACTTCCTCCCGATTCCGAATTTCTTTCTGAAGGAGAGAAAAAATCGACGATTGGAAAAAAGCACAAGGCCCCGAAGTAGTAATATGACAAAAAATATGAACAACCCGAAATTAACCAATGCGCATTTGAGGCTTGGCGATATGACTGTTGAGTTGAACAGGTAGCACGCAGACAAGAGAAGTAGGGGTAGAGTCAATAGCCGGCCATAGAAACCATGTGGGAGGAGAAGAAAGATCGTTATGGTTGTCACCCAAAACGAAGTACCATTGAGAATTAAGAAAATCATGTATAGCCATTCTTTCATGACTACCTTCCCTACCTTGCTGAATGGGAGTGAATCACTTGCACTGTCAGCCTGCCGAAGTCCACCAGGCGGGCTGAGAACTGCTTGGAAAGTGGCTGTTGCAACGAGTCCAGCCACCACTAGCAAAGGATCGCGTGATTGCGCTGAGATACTTGTTTTCTGGCCTTTTAAAAATCGTATCATGTTTTCTAAAAGCGTAGGCCTTGATTTTAAACTCAATTGCTTCGTGGAGATAGTGTCGCTTTCCTTAATTGAACTTCCACGTACAGCTCCTGCTTGGATTAAGGGTTTTCTCATGCTGTATTAACTAGTTCGGAAACAATGTCCAGTACCGTTGAACCATCCAGACTTATGGCATTCACATGGACGTTACACTTTAGTAACAATTTCATCATCTGCAGGGTGGACCAATTAACCAAAAAAACATCATGAGTAAGATATCTATACCTACTATCAATTTCTGATATATTGGCTAGAAGGCGTAATTGAGATTGAGGATAAAAGAGAAACCATTAACACCTGGAGTTGATTCATTTTCGCTGCAGCATGCAATACAGTGTAACCCTCTTCATCCTGCCAGTTGAGAACTTTCTCCTCCAAGTGTAGGGCCTCATCATTCCAGGACCTTCGAAGGAATACCAATAGAGCTTCTAAAGCTTCGGTATTTCCATTCTTAACAGCGATGTGCAGAGCAGTTTCACCCCGATTCGTCGTGTCAGTGATGGAACGAGGGCTAACGGATAGAAACTCATTCAGGAGTTTGAGGTCTCCCTGTTCAACTACATAATGCAGAGGAGTAACACCCTCCTTCCCTTTGACACGGACAAGTTCTGCCCCATTGTCCGTCTCTAGGAATCGATGCACAGTCCGGATCTGCTTTTTTTCCAATGCAAGGTGCATGGGGCTCAACCCTCGTGCATCTAGCTTCTTGGAAAAACTTGGCTTAAGCCTCATGATCTCTATAGCAAAATTGATTTTCTCCTCACTTACAGCTCTATGCAAAGGGGTTTTAACAACTTGCATTTTATCAAGATGGTCGAAAGCATGAGGATTTTCAGCCAACGCACGATAGAGCATATCTAAATCTCCCTTATTAGCAGCACGCTGCAATTGCTCATCCATCTGAAGAAAACACTAAATCAGAGACAGCAATATCATAGCTTGTAGCTAGATTAACGAGATTTCCTGAGCTCAGCACAAGAATTAGTATTCCTTTCTACTACTCAAGTAGGTAATGGACCCTGCATGGTCTATGGCACTGGGATAGGGCAAGCTAGAGGCACAGGAAGCGTACAATAAACGCGTATTGTTAAATCACTGGTCACCAGAAGGCTTTATTGGCATTTAATTCGCGATTTGACAAGTGACTGACCAATACCAATTGACTTTGCTCGTAGCAGGAGGATGCAGAAGAAAAAGAATTTTTTTTAAATTTCAATCATAAGCAAATATTATATTTATATAATTAATTATATAATTAATTATTATATCTTATAATCATTAAATAATTAATTAACAAACAAAAATTTAGCCAAGCAAACAAGGACATAATAACTGAACTTAAAATCTCATAATTTAAAAAAAAAATTATTATTAAATCAAAATTGTATTAACAAAAAAAATTATATAAATGTAATAATTACACATCTTTCAACAAAATATGATAATATAAAAACTAATTAATGTAAAAATAACATGTGAATAATTTATGTTTATAGCACTTTTCATAATCAAGATGACAATCGATCAAATCAAAATAAATCTTTACTTGCTTCAATTTTTATCTAATCTCTTAATATTTATATTTGGTTTTGATATGACATCGAAGTATTAATTTTTTATATCAAATCCTATCTAAAACTAATTAAATAATTTTTATTTAATATAATATTTATAAGATATTTTTAATATAAATTATATTTTAATTATATATAAATATAATATTTTTATTAAATTATTATGTAATAATTTTATGAATATAATATATAATTAAATAAATAATAAAAATTATATTTTTTTATATACTTAGATCGGATTTGATTAAATCTAGACTCCAATGCAAACTTGATTTTAGGGAAAAATCCTAACCAACCTCTTATTTTAAAAAAATAAAATTATTCCTATAAAAAAATATGTCAAAAATCATCAAGACAAATTATTTTGTCATCTTTATTAATAATAAAATAAGTAATAAAACAAATGAATAATATTATATTCATATATGAGATATACATATATATTTATTTATTTATTTAAATAAAATATATTTTTATATATTCTGAGCGGCTGCCCCCTTACTCCACTCTGCATCGGAGGTTCAGTTGAATCCAGGGGGGTCGAAGATTTGATACACCTACATTTTCTTTCTATGCTTTTAGAGAAGTTTAGCGTGAAATTTAGGCAACTGAATCTCTACTGGAGATTCAGTTGAATTCTTTGACACACCCACATTTTCTTTCTTTTTCTTAAAATATAAATGTTTTGAAAAGAAAAGTTTCCTAATAGTTTTTTTTGCAAAAGTAGGTAATTTTTATAATTTTTTAAATAAAAGTACGTTATATAAAAATTTTGAAAAGACATAAATATAACTATTATAATATTTATTATAGTACGTTCTTTATCCTTGATAAATTTTTCAGCTAGATTATCTTATTTCATTGGTGACATTAAATTTAGTCAAAAAACTTTAACAATACTAGATCTTGTGGCACTCACTTAGTAAGAGAAAAAAAATTAAAGCAAAAAGCAATAATTTTTAAAAAATAATTTTTTTACAAAACGAATAATAAAAAAAAAAAGTAGCTACAAAAGTGATAGGAGTACTTTATCTTTCAGTAGGATTGTAAAAATGGATTGCAATGTGGAGGCCAAATGGGGAAGTTTTCGGCATGGCTAAGTTAGTCTGAGGTTCCAAATGCGTGGCAGCGCCGGCTTGACGTGGTTGCAGGCACCAATTATTATTCCCAGTTGCTAGAAAGCTGGAGTTTCGTGCGAATCAAATATTCAGCTTGATTAAAGTGCGTTGAGAGTTGCACTTCTGAAAAAAGAAAGTAGCTGTTTTTTAAAACAAAAATCATTAAACCAGACAATTAGTTATAGTTGCTTATGTCATTAACTACGTTTTTTAAGGCAGCAAAAGTGCTCAAAACTTTTCCTGCATGATTATTCTTCTCATCCACCACTGAAGGGAAGGATGAAACGAGCTGTACACCTAGATTGGATATTCAGTAAACTGTTCCAAACATAAAACGGGGGCATGTAAGACATCAAAGATGAACGAAGTTTGAAGAAGCTCCCAAATTTTTTATAAAAATTAGAAGCATTAAAGAAATTCAAACCAACAAGGCAGTCAAAAGCTCAGAAGTTACAAATATGATTTAATGTTCAAGGTGGAAGACATAGTCCGTCAGGCGCTGCAATTTGCCAGGATCTAGTTTCTGCTCTCTCACAATAGCCTGCCTCGTCACAGTTAGCATATGAGAAGCAGGATCAACTGTCCAACCTTGCCGGAGTACATCTACATTGACAACCAAAAACATCTTGACATTAGTACATACGACCAATACTGTTGTCATCAACAACCCAAAACACAATGTGCATATTAGCGCAAATAAATAATTCTATTTAAGAAAACAGAATGTGGAACATTCGGCTGAAAACAGGGTCGATAGTAAGAGCCATTTTACCATACATACCACCTCAACCACTAAAACAATTGCAGAACATGAAGAACAAACCCCAAGAGCTAGCTCAACACTCAGAAAACCTTGTAAGCCTTGAGAAGGTAACAAACTCAGAAGAGTTATGATAAGCAAATATCTTTTATCTTTGATCTTTTAAAGCCCAAATGCAGAAGACTTAGCACTAAAGGAAGCTAAAAACAACCCTCAAAAGGAGTACATTGGGGGCTTGGAGAAATCTGGGAGAGCCTATGATCCTTTTTTGCCAAGACCAAATGAATGACCCACTTAAAACATAAGCCATAACACCATAATTTCTGACCTAGTAAACAATAAAGACGAAAAGCAAATCAATCTTGAGCATGGAAAGTTAACAGTAATTAAACTATTTATATAATTGGACTTGGATGGTAACCCATATGATTACCATTATCTGAGCCTAGGGTTAGCCTATAAACAGAAAAGGTTCATCATTTTTCAATGAGAATTTAGTTTTTTATGGCCATCAATCTGCTTGAAAAAATCAAGAACCAAAGACAATATATTAGTAGTAATAGGGGATAGAAAAAGATGGCTTTCTTTTGCCACAATCGTCGATACTCTTAAAGTTTTATACATTTCACGTGTATGGGGAGCACAAATGTTCAGATGTTTGGTAAGGCAGAGGTTTCAAAGGCTAGAGATGTTGAATTCAAATCAAACATCTAGAAATAAATAATAAAACAATAGAAGCTTCACAGCATAAACATAACAAGCGATGTGTATACTTACAATTCGTGGCATCCTCCTCACTCATTCCAAGAAATTGAGCTGCATCTTGGATGGTTATTGTTGAATAAGCAGATTGCAGCAGTTCAAACATCCTCTTAGTGTAAAGCTCTACAAAACAGATGGCAAGTAATGACCACAACTGCTATATTGCCTACACCTTTAACAGACATTCTATTATATTAACTGTTGATTTCACTCCTGTTTCATGCATCTTAATCAAAACTAGCAGTTCATCTATGAGCCACACTTCATTGCTTCTGTACCGAACCATAAAGTTTAAATTAGATATTACTTTTTATAATTAGCACCTTTTAAAACAAATATATTTTATTTAATTACCTAACTAAGTACTTTAACTACTGTGAAAGCTACTATAAAGAAAACTTACTGCGAAAGCTATTATAAAGAAAACTTGCCTGAGAAAGCAGAAACAAGAACTTGTGTTTCTTGAGTCCAATCAAAGCCACGAATAGCCTCATAGACACCAGCATAATCTCTAGTCCACAGCTTCTGACCTATTTTCCAGGCTGCAACCAACTCCGGTTGGCTCTCCTTGATTGCCACAGGTATTGATTTCCAAAGAAACCTTGCACTATTACTGCAAAACCATCCCACTCCAAGGATAAAATCCTAGACTAAATTTGTGAAATTTTAAAAACAACATTAATTCCAAAATAACATTTTTGAAGAAACTAAAGTCAATTATAAATATAATCCCAAAAATATAAATTTATTAATCAAACAAAGAAAGAAAGAATAAATGGACTTACATATCATCAACGTAGATGTGGCCAAGAAGATGAATTACGAAAGGCCATTCGTCTTGAAAAGGAACGCCCTCCGCTGCTACCTGGTTTTATATATAGAGAGACCAAAGTTTTATATATATATATATATATATATATATATATATATATATAGGGTTCAGGGAATTCCTAAAGGAAAAAAAATTGAACAGTTGAATGAACCATCTAAAATTAGATGGACCAACCATCAGGAAAATATAAATAAAAATAAATCAGAAGGAGAGAAAAGAGAATGTACCTGAAGCATGAGATTGTCGCATAGATCAGCGATCTTATCGAAGGATTTGGAGTCCAATCTTTCATTGAGAACACTAAAATCCATCTCTGCTTCTTCGCTGCTTTTCCTCTTCTGATCTTTTCTCTTTTTGGGGATAAATTTACAGAAAATAATTTTTTATATATCAAAAGACTCTTAGTTTTTGTTTGGGGGTTTTCCTTTTCTTTTCGAGGGGCCGAACGGAACGGCCCATGATGTGGGCTGCTTAAAGGCAACGGCTTTTACCCTTTAAAACATCTAGCGGAGAAAATATTTGTTATCAGTTAGATGCCCAATTTGTCCAATTGAACCATGGGATCGCTGTCTTGCCTTGTTCTAAACACCTGGAAGCTTAGAATTCGGCCAGCTCAACTCTGTGTACTGCCCACCACGCTCAGAATTTTCTATTTCTTACCCTTCATTTGTTTTCGTAATTAAAACAAAAAAAAAAGCTTTCAACTCTCCCTTGCAAGTATTACCCAAAAAAGAAGCATTCTTATATTTGACTATTTTTCCAGATTTTATCTGTAAGTAATACATCAATAATTATTAGATAGCACATATAAGTCTACATCATCAACACTGCAATTAGCTTCCTCACATGCATCCTAGTAGAAGCATTTTGCCAAAAGGTTGAGTTCTAGGATCGGCTGTTAAGGATGAAATTATATAACCATTTCCTGAAAATTGATCCCAAGCAAGCAAGGCTCAAGCACGAAATTTGAATAGCAACATGAAGCATAGAGTGCAGCATCCGGGTGCTGCAATGCCTGCGAAAATATGCAGCAGAAACATTAGCAGCAGCTAACATGAGCACAGGCGTTTTAGCAGAGCATCATTTACAGAAATTACAGCCAGATAGATTGTTTGCTTTATGTCAGAAACCTATAAAGGTTAGTAAAAATGTGCATTTAAACATATTAAAGTTTTGGATCCATACAAATCATGAGTGTCATTTCCACAAGCAACAAGGATTGCCATAGATTTGAAGACAAAGACATAGCACTGATTTGTGTGTGGAACCATTATGGCCTGCAAATGTGTGCCCATAAATGCTCTTACATATGATCAGTTTGTATACATCCACATACAAGCAACCATAATCACATATATGTTTACAGAAAAAGATCATAAGTAATAAATCAAAACCAAGAACAATATTAAATTCATGTCCACGTATATACAGCCCTTGCATATCTATACATGTACATGCATACATACATACATACATAAACACAAGCACTCATACACACATATATTTATTATAGTTCAATACATAAATTCCTAATAAATTTTGAGGATACTTGAGGGAAAAAACACTTGCAATGCAAAAGGTCAGTGCTTCCCGAATCTAACCAGTTTTTAGTGGCGTGCCTTAATACAGCCTACCAGTACACTCTGAAGAACCACAGTGGCAAATTTTCTTCTTTATGTTACCATTCTCATCACGAACCTGATCTATCATATAATTGTAATGATAAGTCAACTCTTGCAAGGGAGGAACATTCTCAGCAGCAAAGAACATTATGTGTGGGATTCTCCTGTCGTCATGGTCATAAAGGACATTTTGTGCATACAAATTAGGTGAACAGCTATGGTTTATGAATCTCCCTATATTGCCACATCGTGCTGCATCGATTGTGAAACCACTGTCAGGTAGAACTTGGCAAGAACTTGAATGTGCATCAGGCATTAGGGTTGAAAGACCATCCCAGAGAGAACTATCACTGTAGTTATTTCCAATATCAAACAGATACTCATCATTCCCTGTTCTTTCTTCAGCTTCCCTATCTTCAAGTAGCTCTCCAGCATACTCACAGATAAAACTTCCGGAAGGGATAGAATTTAGGGATCTAACACCCCAGCCTCTTGATTCTGTTTTAAAGATTTCAAGCTGAAATTTTATGCCATGTTGGCTGACTCTATTATTGCATTTAGCAGGACAATTGCAAGTAGGACCACATTCATAGACAATGGGCTTTGCTTCAACAATGGCGCCATTATGGTTATATGGGATCTCTCCTCCATTCCTCATCACACAAGAACATTTCCCTGATTGTGAACATCCATTGATACAACCACAACCTTTGGGACGAATAGGACGGCACCAGTCAGGGTAGATCATGTGAGGTTCATACACAAATAGTGGAGGTTTTTCACTATCTATGGTGTTTATAGCACAAATGGGGATTATCTCCTTCCTTTGTGAGATATCATGTACACAGAGACCTTCCCGCAATTTAGATTTCTTTACAACTTTCCAAGCAAGCTCTGGTTGACCCTGAATTCTGACCAGCTTAAATTTGTAGACCAGCTTACCATGCGGCCCTGGTTCTTGCTTAAACTCCTCCACCAAATAAAGTCCATCATAAACATATGTCTTACCTCTACCTTCTGACAAATCAGAAGACCTTGTCTCACCACGAATCACCCTCACTGGATTCTTAACAAATCTGCTATTAGCCAAAGCAAGGTTTCCTCTTTCGAGCTTCTGGTCTTCTGGCTGCTTACCTTTCTGCATCACATTTCCTCCCTGACCCATGTAACTCAAGACATCTGAATTATCCAAGTCATCCTCATAGCCCCCCGATGCTATAATACTAGTAGCAATGATCTTTTCACCTTGCTTTACATAATCTATACCACCCTGACTTTGGCGATGAAGGCCAACAATATTGAGCTCGACAAAATACTGAAACTCATCACCAACTTCAACACCTGGAACAGGGCCAATGATCTGTTTGCCTGTGTTAACGTATTTCCCTTTCTCTTTGAGAATCTTTGCAGCTTGGCAATCCACCCTCTTATGAGTCTTTCCTTGCTCCTTCAACTTTGATTCTTCTTCCTGTAAGAGCTTCCGACAGACTGCTTGGAACAGACGTAATGTCTCTCTCACTTTGTTCCGACTAGTCATTGCTTCATTATCATGACCCATAGTACTTGGACAAGGAGGAAGACTCACATCATAACTGTATGATCTCCGAGCAAAATTGTCATTTGTGTGTTGCCCATCCTGCTGGAATGAGTCTTCCTTGTTCCAAATAACCACTTGGCTGAGATCTTGACGAGCCCTTTTGTTGGAAGAAGAACTCTTCTTGGCATCAGCTCGTGGTAGCAATGTGAAGTTGTTCTTTTTCTTTTTTTTAAACGAACCACCAGCCAGGTCAGATTTGCAGGTGACTTTCCCTTGTTGCCAGGGACAAGTTGATGAAGCCATGAGGCCTTGCACAATCGAACTATCCGATAAAACTTCTTGACTCCCACGATTCTCCTCCAGCCATAGATCCTCAAAGGCAGATGAATCAGAAAGCTTTTTCTCAAAACTGTTGACCTCTTCATAGACAACAATATCGCGTATGGGATTTTCCTCCAAACCTCTAATATATCCATCCCTTGTCTCAGTTACTTTCTTGGACTTGCTATCAAATTCATTTGGAAAAGTTTCACAACAAGACTTGATGCTATTTTCACCCATATCTTCCGCATCCTCCATATCCCTGGAAGAAGCTTCATAAACACCTTGCTTCCTCATTTTTTTAGAAGCCAGATCTTCGGGTTTAGATTGAAGTTCTTCTGCAGAGAGTCTAGTAGCACTACATTCTATTTTACCTTCTAAAGAAATTACATCCTGAACATCCTCTATCACTTGTTTCACATTAGTACATATAGTCTTTTCCAATGGTTTTTCTTCATTTACAAACTTCTCTGTGTTGAAACCCTTGTTCTTTAATGAGGCAAGCCATTTCATGCGCTCCTCCTCACTAAGACATGGAGCATTTCTTCCACAAAATGGAGGGAAGTCTCTCACAACAGTGACTCCTCTCCGAGGACAATAATTTCTTGTTAAAGTATTTTCCAAACTGCTCTCACCGGGATGGGAATTCATACTAATTTGTGTAACCACCTTCTCTTTGGAAGCAGCAACATTTTCCTTACGCAAATCCTCCTGCAAACCAGAAATTTCATTTACCAAGCACACTGCAAGTTGAAAGTCTCCTGAAAAACTCTTTCAGGCTCAACCTTATCTACCCGATCAGACAATAATGCCGGGTTTCCTGACTCAGAAACCACCTGCCCTTGTGCTTGCTCACTTGGTATGGTGATTGGCGCAGCCAACCTTCCACACCCTGGTGGAAAATCCCGAACAGCACAAACTTTACGCTGCTTATACTTGGGTACGGGGGCAAAGTGACCATTTTCAGTCGCCATTCTTCCCACCCTTCCCTCAGAATGACTACCACTTGCCACCTTTGATGTCTCTTTATGCAGCATGTTATCGAAACCCCCATTTCTAACTCATTTATTACAAATTGCACATAAAGCAACCTAAAAAACAAAAAAACATAAATATCATTCAACTGCAATTAGCTCAAACCTCAAAGATTAAACAACAATTAACCTAATTCCCTATTTCTAACCATGAATAAAGGAAGAAACAGAAGAATACTGAAAACGAAACTCATGGCCATGATACTTTATTTTCTAAAATTAGCAAAATTCTAAGGCTATATCAACAATCAAATCAAGCCACGAAATAACCTAAAGCTACGCCCCAATATCGAAGAACATGTCAATCGAAAAGGTCGATAAAAAAAAGCAAATAGTAAATTTCAAAAAGGAGGAAAAATCAAACTCCGTATTCAACCAAATAGTCAAAAAAAAAAAAAAAGGCAAGAAATTAAAAGAGTGATGCGATTCATAAATCTATTTTCTCGTAAGCTCTCAAGCACCTAATGATAATAATCAACCAAACAGGACTCATAAATTCAGACTCGATATTCATCGAAAGGGGAATAAACAAAAGGCTAGGTTACCATGCAACAGAAATTGTTCAGAAAGTTAAGACTACAAAATCGATGATAGATTCTTAAGTTTGGATTTGAAATAGTCAAAATCTCGAGAAAGTAAGCAAACAAAACTTATAGAGGCAAAGAGAAGTTTTACCCGAAAATCTTGGAGAAAACAGAACAATTACGAGAAGGCCAAAGAGAAATGAAAGAGGAAAGAAACGGACGGTCACTGATGAAAAATGAGAAGGCATTGGAATGAAATCAACGGTGAAGATCGAGTGGAGTTTCAATTGGAAGCTGAGTCCTGAAATGGAGCATTTTTTTGGTCAGAAAATAGAGAAATGGAGGGCTTTTAGCTAAAGGGATGAATCAGAACCATGTCTTTCTACCGTTTTGGCTTGCTTTTGCACGGGATGTTTGCCTAAAAATGAAAGCCGCCGTTCTAAGTTCTGCAGTAGCAACGGTGTCGTTTATGTCAAATGACTGATGACCTCCATCCTGTTTTACCAATTGAACTTTTTATGGGAATAATACCTTGATCTAATACTTCCACTTACCATGATTAATTTGATTTTATATACTGATATAATAATTTTTTAATTTTAATATGTGCCATTTTATTAATTTCGTTTGTAAATTTTAAAAATTTTATTAAAAATAAATTAAATAATATTTCATTAATTAAATACAAACCTTTATTTTCATCGATTAGTTTTTCCAAAAAATCCTTATCAAATACTATTTTATTACGATTATGAGTGTTTTAAGATTTTGTGCAAACTAAATCCTTTCTTTAAATAATTTAAAATTATAATTTTTAAAATTAAATAATATATTGAAATTTTTTATTTTAAAAATACTCTCACAAATATAATATCAAACCTTGATTGACAAAAATAGAAATTTTGAAGGAAGGGATTCAATAGGAATCTTTCAACTACTTTTACTTAGATATAAACTAAGATTAGCATTTAAATTACTACTTACAACAATTTTATCAAAAAATGAATAAGGAAAAATTAAAAAGAAATATAATTTCATTTGTTAATTTTTGCATTGGAATTTTTAGTGGTTTGAATTTGAATGATTAATGATTATATTTCATTATTTGTAATAATAATATAGTTAAAATTATAGTAATATTGCTTCAACATAATTCCAATTTCTTATGTTCTTCAAGATGGGTAAGGCTTGGATAAAGACTAACTTGACTTATTGTTAATATTTCAAGGTGGGCCTCACTCATTTATATCGTTGTAGGGAAACATATCACTTAAAATTTTTTTATTATGATATCATAATTATTTAATAATAATAATAATAATATATATATGGATCATCTACTTATAAATATAGGATTCAAATAAATTTCGATAGATTTTTCATAATTTTAAATTATAATTAATTAATTATATTATAAAGTGATATGCTCATATAATTATAGCTCATTGATTTTAAGTATATACAACACATTTATATGTATGTAGAATTAAGAAAAAAATTAAAAATCAATTTTAAAGTTATTATATTTAGTTTGACTCGATTTGTTTCTTACTCGGTTAGATTTTGATTTGGATATTAAATGTTTTATTTTAGTTCGAGTTTCAAAATATGAAGTGAAAAATATAAAATATTCTAATTAAATATAAATTTTTTATTAATTTGTATATAATTTGTATATTTTTATAAAAATAATTATTTTATATTTAAATATATTTAAAATATATTAAATATAACATTAAAATAATATAATATTTATTTTAAAAAAATTATAAATCAAATTGAATCGATAAAATTAAAATTGTATTGGTTCAATTTTAAAATAAATTTGGCTTTTGAATATTCAAAATATTATGTATTAACTAGACCTGAAATAAAAAATACTAAACATTACTATTATTTATATCTTACCTACAAAATAAAATATAATATTTTATTACAGGTGTGTTTGGTACATAATACTACAATAGAATACAATAACATAATATTATAAATAAAAGTTGATTTAATAATATTATCATATCTTATATTTATATTTGATATGTGCAATGATTAAAATAAAATAATTTTATTTATTGGTTAAATTTATTTTTTTAATTTATATAATTTAAATATAAGATATAAGTTTTAAACATATAATAAGATATATAAGTTCAAATCTTATGAACTAAAAATATTCGTATTTACTTTAGGATGATTGAATTATTCTATGCCAATACGATGATTAATATTTTTTACAATCCTATTTATTTATTTACATATAAATCAAATATAATATAAAATTATTATTATTTTATTTTATCTATTATCTTAAATATTAAATGTTTAATCGATCGAATTTGAAATTTAAAGCTATAAAACTCTGTTTGAATTCGATCGAATTTTAGTTTTTTAGCTCAAACTCGACTCATTTTATAAATTGAGTTACTCGAATTCGTTCGATTAAGCTTAATTAACATATAAAAATAAATTCGATTATTCTATTCGACAAAGCTCGATTATTTATACTCGAGCTTGAGTTTGAGTTCGAAATATTTTATTAATTAAAATAATAAAAATATAAAAAATAAAAAATTTGATTAGAGTCGTAAATTATTCGAATAAATATAATAATGTTTAAACTCGACTTGATAAATAAGTTAAACTATTTGAACTTGAGTTTAAGTTTTATTTAATAATAATCAATTCGAATTCGAATTTTATTCAAGTCAAATTCAAATAATTTATCATTTACACCCTTATTAGATACCAAATATGATTTTTATATATTATTAAATACATTTGTGTACGTGTATTTACACACTAAATTGCGATTTTCATATGCCGTGACTAATTGTTATTTAGGTGTTAGAAGGTGATGTGATATAATTTTGAAATAGATATGGTTTTACACTTAAACATCGTTTATATATATTTTATAAGTTTGTTATATATATATATATATATATATGAATATAAAGAGAGAAAATATCCAGTTACATTAATGTAATTATTATATTTTTTATTTTTTATTTAAATTAAAATAAATACATTAAATTTTAATTATTTAAATTAAAAAATATAAAATATAAAACTTACACTAAAATAACTATATGTATACTCGTATATATTACAATCAATTTGTTAGATGCATCTCGCTTTGTGTTACTGGCTTGAGAAAACTTTTATTTTTCTAAATAAGTACTTTTATAATAATAAGTAATTTTTTAAAGATGTTCATTTTACTAAGGAAGTGCATTAAATATACTCTTAAAAGTTAATATAAATTATTACATAAAATAATATAAATTATCATCATATACACTAAACATTATTAATGTATATCATTAAAATTGATAAAATATATATTTAATATAAATATTAATAAAAAAATAATTAAAATATTTTATTGACATTATAAACATTGTTAATATCTTATTAAGTTATTTTCATCCATGAATAAAATTGTCATGTATATTTAATATAAAATTATTAATATAAATAGCATATTATATAAATTTAAAAATACCCTTATTAGAAAAATAATCCTTGTTAGATTATTTTTAAAAAGGGTCAAAATATTAAAAAAATTTGAATTATTTTATATTTTAAAATAAAATTTTATATCTTATTGTATCTAAATAAAATTTTATTTTTTGTTTTATATTTAAATAAATATTTATTTTAAATAAAAAAATTAATTTATGGTAATGATTTATTTATGTAAAATTAAAGGTTAAATATTTATTTAAGCATAAATTAAAGTTTAAAAATTTATTTAAATGTAATTTATTTAAATAAAAAAAATATTTTTTATCATTTTAACCTTAAAAGAGCAATGTTAATTGATGTCTTATAATACAAATTAAGATGATATTTTAAAAAATACAACTAATTGTATTCTTTTTAATTTAATAAAAGCAATGCTAAAATTTTTTTAAAAATAATAATGAAATAACCAATAATAAACGATGCATATTTGATAATTTCTCTGTCAAAAAATATATACTTCTATCGAGGCGCGTCATGTCATGTAATGTCCAACTGTCAATATCAAATCAATAAAAAAGGCGGGAAATCTCCACAATAAACAAAAAAAAAAAAAAAAGAATTTAACATGCTTCTCTCCAAGTTACATACGGCTCGGTTCGTGAAAGCAAAAAGTAGGCTCTGCTCTCAGTCTTATTCAAAACAACGAGACTCAAAATCGTCGATGGAACCAGGCGATCCTTTTGGTTCGATAAGGGAGGTCTGCCAGATGTCATCCTCTGAGGAGTCCCGCTTACGTCGTTGTTTTTACTTTTGCCAGTCGGATTCTGATGACTCCAACCACAACTCGGGCTGGCGAAATCCGCTCGATATACCGCTCGCTTCCACCAGCATCACAATGGTGTCTCCTCCGGAATCACAGGAAGACGAACTGCCAAATGACCAATATACCTTTCCGGAAGACCAGGAAATCTTCCACACCCCTCTTGATTGCCACGTGGAAACCGAGGCCGTTGATGTTAATAGTGGGGGCAACAAGAGGGACGTTGATTTGGGGAAGGACACGAACCTAGGGTTTTCGGAAGTGGAAGTGGATTCGAAGCAAAGGATTGAAGCTAATTCGAGTCCAGACGGCATGTTTCGAAGGGAATCGGAAGAAATTAGGGTTTCGAAAGAAGATTTTCTCCTAAAGGGCAATCATCAACTGAATCTCCCTCTAAAAAATTGAAAAGTTTGGATTTTGAATCTCCAAGCGTACGCTTGGGAACTCCAAAAGAGAGAAAACGGTCATTGCCTTCATGGGCTGATAGCAGAATGGAAGGTGATAAGAGTGTTTGTGAGGAATTGGAGATTAATGAAACAGAATTTCCTTCTTGGACTGATGGGAGAGTGGCGGACGATGAGAGAACAGATAAGGAACTGGATGTTAATGAAAAGGAGATGGTCCATTTAGATACAGATTCAGATAGTTTAAGTGGGGATTTTGAGGAATTTACGCTTTTGGATGTATTGATGAAACTGGAAGAGGATTGTGAGGAGGATAGGACTCTCGAATGTCTTAGTCTTCTGGAGGTTGCAGAGAGAAAATGGGATACTATTTCCTCAGTCAAGTGATGGGTCGCATGAGGAATCTAAAGTGAAGAGATAACTCAAAGAGTAATTGGGCCTTTATGGGGTGCATTTTGGTAATGATAGGTGACTGACTTTTTGGGTTTGTGAAGTTTTCTGGTAGGAAATAAATGGAAGGAAAGCTAAAAAAATCTAGAAGGAGATTGTATGAAATTGTTTTTTTGCTTCATATGCAGGTAAATAGAAATATGTGAACCTGGAAAACTCTAGACTAGATATTACAGTTCAAGTCTATGCTATATATGTATGGTTTGCTTGTATATAAATGAAAATTTTGAAATATATTAAGGCATGGAAATACTTTTGGTTTCTAAATTTGATTGCAAAATTTCGCTCGTGATTGTTTTAGTTGTGTTACTCGGGTGTGTGTGTGGGGGGGGGGGGGGAAGGGGGAGGGGCGTTCGTGTGCATTAATGTTGGATTACTCTACAGGTGTGCTTATGCACACGTGTTATGCCTTGGTTTGTTGGGTTATGGAAATGGACCATTAAATCAATATCTAGAAATTATTTATTGTTTGAGGTCAAGCCTTAAACTTGTGGATCAAAATTCAGGGCCTGAGATGTAAAGTGATTTGTGATAATGTTTGTCAAACAAGGAAACAGACGAAAGGTACTTCTTTTTCTCCTTTCTCAGCATCAATTAAGGGATTTGTAGTATTAAAGTACTTACATTTGCATCAAAGCATAGTCTAGTAACTCCATTGTTCATTTTCACTAACTCATAAGTCGCACTAAAAGAATAGCAGCACTTGTTTCTTGTTGTCTAGTTCTCTTCATTTCATTTTTTGTTTCTATCGATAAGATGCAAAAAAGGAGATCCTTTTATTTCTTCCTAAATAACCTTGCAGTCTTGAGATTGCTGGGGAGGATTCTGTTTTACCAATGTTGAGATACATTAGATTGGCCTTGGAGCTATTTGCTTCAGGAAGATTGTCCTTGGTTGTTTCCAGATGCACTGGTGTAGATTCTCAGGCTCACATAATTTTCCCCATTTAAGGGTATGCTTATGTGAATTTTTGTCTATGCATTTTGAGGTGACCTTGTGCATAGTGTGGTTTATGTGTGATGCAAGGTCACAATTTATTGGATAGTGTTATGTCTACACTATTTTGGAGTATTAAGATTGAGATTTTGATATTTGGTTATCATTCTGCACTTTTTATGCATGTAAAGATATTTATTTGTATGGCCTTAATTCAGGCAGGTTGAATACCCAGTTACAATGTCATGGAACATGGTTATTCATTACTGAGGTCTTTCTATGGGCTAGGGAGGTAGGGTGTGGTTTTATCTTGAAGTGATAATAGAGGAGAATGTTACCAATTCTAGACTGAATTCCCCTGCCTTTAATTTTATAAACAATAAAATATTATTTTTGTTAGCAGTGGTGGCCTCAAAATTAACTCGACATTTTGTGAGAAAGTTCATAGTTTTAGTAATCTGTGTGTCAGAGATGACAAGTAGATAGTCATGCTATGCCTCAATGTGTGGCTTAAATCTGTATTCTTTACACCAGTTTTCTTTCTTGTCTGCTTTATTTTTTATTATCGGTCGTTAAGGGGAGTCATTTTGTGTTAGGGTATTCGCCTTTTGAATAATGGAATTTACTTCCACTAATTTAGCTTGCTGAATTGATTCCTCAAGCACACAATCAAATGCTAATCTCTAAGTATTATCAGCCTTTTCTTTTTTGTTTTCAATTTCTGGAGAAATTGCCAGTGTTTTCTTGTATCAAGTGTGTCTGTCTTTTAAAATCTTCACTGATCTTTTCTTTATTATTCCCTTTGTAAATTGTATTTTGATATTGCCTTTTTTTTTATTTTTGTCTTCTGTTCATAAATTTAAACACCTTAGTGTAAATGCTGAGAAAGTAAAAAATAAAAATGTATAGGGATACTGAGGAGTCTCAATTCTTCCATAGCAATTTCCTTTTACCATTTGAAATGGCATTCGAAATGGGTGTGGTTTCTCTCTTTTGTGTGTGCATGAATGAATAGGCGGGAGTGTGGTTAAGGGTGTGTTTATTATGCACATGATTTTGTTACGTGATCATTATCTTTTTCTCACAAAACCGGTTTATTGAAATGTAATTTTTTTTTTAATTTGATACGAGATTAATGCACCATAATGTCATTATCTTTTTTCCATAAAACCAGTTTATTGGAGTGTGACTTTTTATTTATTTGATGTAGAATTAATGCATCTTATATACTTCTTAAGGGTTCTTGGCGTGACACTCTGTTTTGTATGCAGTGGTTCTATAGGATTATATGAAGTCTTTGCCCATTTTCAGGCACTTCCTTTGAAGTCAATGTCGTTGATTATGCATTGTTTCTATTTCTCCTCGTCAGAAATTATTTACGCAATCAAATTTTTATGGCTCAAGGAATTTTCCATCATCCTTTCTGTTTCTCAAATTTAATTGAGTTACTAACATAAAGATACACTTCAAGAAAGAATGATTCAAATTGCCGATTTCACCAAAGTTGGCTTCGAGCTATTTGCCTGCAATTTGCACAACTAGGAATCTGGTTTGAGAAGTTGTAGGCAAATCCATAAATTTCAAGCCGCTTGAAGATTGACAGCCAACGGGCAATTTCTAATTTACATGGTATCTTGCACTTTCTTTCTGTTCCTTCCTGTGTTCTACGAATAAACCTCCATGGGTTTGAGAGGTTACTGCCAACTCCAGGGCTTTGCTTAGAAGAAAGACGGAAAGAAATGTGAATGAAAATTTTATTAATTTAATGATTAAACTCTAAAATAAGAAAGTTATTGTTAATTTAGTTATTAGATTAACAAGCTTTTTATCCTCTTCTCTTTCTATCGTTTCTATCAAGCAAAGCCTAAGAGTGGGTTTTCTATCGATTTTCAAGAATAATCAGTCATGAACACTAATCTTCATATGGAATCGTCTTATGCAAAACTAGTCAGAGATATTCCTCAATGAATTCTGCATTCCATCACATATTCACGTTCTAAAGCGACCACTTCAAAGACACCCCTTAATCCCTTCTCCCCATTGCTTATCCTAGGGTGATTGCTTGAAAGGACAAGTTCTTAGCAAGGACGAGTCAATCTAACTGATATATGTAGGTATCCAGTATCCTCCAAAAGGCACCGGTAAAGCTATTTTCATATCCCTTTGATTCTATTTATCTTTTCCCACTCAGAAAAACCAAAGGGGATAAGCTGCAAATTGACAAAAAAAAGTAAATAAAATTATGTTTCTATGCAAAAACTACATTGGCATGCAAAACTCTGCAAATTACCACCTCTTCTGCAGTTTTTAAGCTATATATTACAATCTGTTGTCAACCTATACAAAAAAAAAACCCACTCCAAATTCATCCCTTAGCATTCCAAGTTTGTAAAGGTCAAGGGGAGAAAAGAGCAACCATCAAACCTCATTCACAGACTTTGGTGTTTGGCATGTAAAATATGTCGATCCCACTCATGGGATCTTGCAGAAGGAGCAGACCTTTATAGTTCTAGTAATTAACAACCATTGCTAGGGATGGACAAGATGTGAGTGTGCTGAGCTACTACTAGTGCTTGCCTGTTTCCCAAAACTTAAAGTAGGATGAAGCAATTCTGCCTGTGGGAATGAGCCATTGGGCGGCACATCCAGCAACAAATCTTGTTCAAAACTTTCATCTACAAAATGAAGAGAATCCAGCAGGAGGGAGCTACCATCAGGAGGCAAGGCAAAAAGGCTTCTCGGGCTAAAGCAAGAACCATCATTGTCTATGAGATCTTTGCTTTCATAAGTTGACTTCATGATCACCCGTTTGGGACTCTTTAAAGTCCTCGCTTCTGAGAAATGAAAAATATGTTTTACTTAAGCAAAATGCCAGTGTAACTCATAACAACGACAAAAAAACACACAAGATTAAAACTCGACTTAAGGTGAAATTTATTTGGTTACAGAGAAATTTTCTTCATATGGCTTCATGTTATTATTAACTTTAGTTCTTTCACCCAATTTTAATGATTAATTTGTATAACTATTCTGATCTGGTTTTATTACTTTCCTCGTCATAAAACCCAAGCTGAGTTATTTTCACTTTAAATTCAATGTCATCGTGTAATCTTTAATATAATTTAACAAGGTTTATTTCATACAGAGCAATAACAGCAGAGAATTTTCGAACCTGGAAAATTTTGACTATGGCTGTCACATGATCTCTTCATAATTACCAAATTATTCGATGTAATGGCATTTGGTCCGCTAGCAGTCACGGACTCTCCAATACTACTTTTACATGCCTACAGCCACAGAAATGCTAACATATTTAGGCATCCAATGAGCAAAATAAGTTCATGCCAAGATGTACCTATTTAAAAAATCAATTCAAACCTTAAGCACGTGATAGCGTTCCACCCAGTGGGATTTTGTCAAGTTGAATAATGCAAGTCTTTTCAAAGTCATGCAGTCTTCAGTTTTCACCCCTGGGGCAGAGATATTAAAGACCCCTTCCTCAAGCAGTTGCTGAAAGTAACACAAGTTCTCCTTGAATTGAGGGCTTTCAAACATGCTTTTGAGGCTGCAGGTACAAGGACAACTATCAGTGATTCCACATCATGTTTCAACTATTGGCCATCTCTTTAGATAACTAATAGCCATTTCTGGTTTTTTCCTTTTTTATTTTCCTCAATTATCTAATTTCCACAACATGTGCATCAGATACTATCAAAATAAAAACAGGATTATTATCAGTAGATGCATTCCATTATACACAAAACATGAACTAGAAAGATGTTATTTTCCACCTCTTGATAATAGAGTAAAAAAGATACCTATCAGGGAGTTGGGCAATGTCAAGTGGAGGTAGATACTGCAGTAACTGCTGCTGCTCCTCATTTGTTAAATATTTCACAAACTCATCAAAGTTGAGAATATCCTGCACCACACAAAAATATCATCACATAATGGAGAATGAACATATGTGCTGTGATGTGAATTGCTCACAGTTAACTCTAACTTTTTCTTATGATGAAGAAATTAAGTGAAAGATTTGTGAAACATCCTAGTCACTAAATGCATACAACATTACAGGTTCCTAATGCTCAATTGAGATTTTTGTATACAATATAGCAGCTGTAGAATTGAGGTCTAAAAACAAATAAAAAAAAAAAGAAATAAGGGAACTTACATTCAAATCTATGTTACATAGTGGTGAATTATGACTTTCCAGCATTAGTGACTTCTCATGTTGAGCCTTGTCCCTGTCAAATGTGAAAAAGAAACAATATATATTAAATCAACATGAAAGCACCATTCTCCAATTTCTCCTCCCATTGCACAGCAGCTATGTGCTTTTAACTTATGGCCCATGAATCATGATGACACTAGATACTAAAAAGTCTTCCTGAAAGACTGTAGGGTAAGACATTACTACTTGGAGCTTTTGAGATGAATTCCACACCTTCCATCATTGTACAAAACATACCTTCTCTACTCCCACAAATATAATTATCTTAACCTTTTTGGTGCCATGGTAAATTTTCGTAATATTTTCAGTTAAAATACCACATGGTCCACACTGATTCTAGTTTCATAACAGGCAGATTCTGTCGCAACTTGTAAAATATTTATAGTGAAAGATTTACCTCTTAAGTTGCTCGTGCTGCATCCCTTGTGCAGCAGGGTTCTTAGCCCTTTCAATTCCACATCCTGAAAATTTCATCTTCCTATCATTATACACAGGAAAGCTTGAAGAATGTGAATAAGCCTCATTCATTGAATATTGTTTGTTTTCAACTGTGAGGGAGCTAGCTTCCGATTCCTCTTCTCGAGCTATTGAGCTTGGATGTCTAATTAGAACGCTTCCATGTCCAATCTCAACAGAAACCATGGGCATTTCACTCTCAAGAAGCAAATCCTCCTCAGAAGATCCAGAGAAATATGAAGACTGTTGTTCATGTAAAATAGTATATAAATCTTTTGTAAGTTTCTCGACTGAAGATGGCTTTGGACGATTTACACAGGTTCGTTTCTTAGAAGGTACCATTGAGTCCCACACGTTAGATTGAGCAGGCCCTGGAGAGAGATTTAAAAAAAAAAAAAAACTTAAATCAGTATTTGGAACCATTTTAAAAGTACAAACATGCAGCTAGAATGAAGCCATAGGCATCAGTGAAGATCAAGTCTGCAATGAAGATAAACTCCGAGGATGCAGATTAAAACTTAAAGATGAACCACTAAAAAGGAGAAGATTTAATATAATAGAAAGAGGTACAATCAGAATCACATTATTAACCACAATTTTTCCACTTATAACTACAGTCTAAAGTTAGTTGTCTCAAAGATATGATAAACATTAAACCTTTTCAATTCTGTTGTTCATTTGGAAAAAACATTGGGTAAGTATGTGCATCATGAATTGGAAAACCATAATGATTATATTTTTTAAGAAGATATAAAACCATTTTCCAAAATCATTTTCAATTATGCCATGGATGGCAGTCATGAATCCCCAATGAGTTCACATGATGGACTGAGATGTTCCATTGAATTTAGTATATGATCCACCAGGTCTCCTTTCATGACAAAAAAAGAGTAATTTGCTCTCATACATTCAAAACACTGATGGCATTGTGTACAACCTGTCAAGTCACTAGCATCTGCACTGCCAAATTGGGCACAGCTTTCAGAATTAGATATGGCTGATCCAGAACTTGATCTATTACTAGCATCTTCTTCCACAAACTTACGGAAACCCAGGTTGTAATCAGGGACAACAACTGCTGTATCATGATTTGGTTTTCTTTTCAGCACTTTTACTTCTTTGTTCTTATTTATAGATATGCTCTTCATTCTGGAAGCCCTATGATCCTCGTAACCATCAGGTTCACCCCGAGCATGAAGTGGGGTATAATTTGCGAGTGTCCCTTTAGTCCTCCACCGCGATCCACATGCATTGCACAATACTGGCTTCTCAGGAGGTCCGTTGCGCCAAAGAGGAGTGCCTATCACAATGCATTGTTGTTAGCAAGTATAGACTGATTAAGGACAAAGAGATATTATAATTAAGATATGCTTATAGCAACAGCCATTAGCCAAATTTTACAGATATTTTAAAGCATCAAAACCTTAAGGAGAGAACAAAAAGTTCATCAGAGAGTTCAGTATATTCTTGGCCAAGTTTAAAGACAAAAACACCATCAGATAAATCTTCTTCAAATTATTGCCAATAGGATAGACATTATCAAGAACAGACTTGAGTAAGAACCAGAGTCAAGAGGAACTTGCATTTTTCCTCACAAGTTGACATTTGATAACACCATTTTGAAGTGCTTAATGTTGGAAGCAATCCCTAAAACAAATTAAAGATTGATGCTCTTGCCTTCAGCAAGGCATAAAAGGACAATTGGAGTTTCCATTGACACTTCTACTTGAGAGAAATTTAGCAATCATTCAATGACCAGCAAATTTAGAATACAGCTGAAATAGGTTGAGTTGCAGTAATTGGTGCAAACACACTAAGTTCTAAGACTATAAAACACTTCAAATGTTTGAAGAATGGTGCAATGAATTTAACACTCAGAAGCCATTCAGAGTGTTTAAATGCAAATGATTCTTATGAGGTTGAACTGTTTAAAGGCTTAAGAGGAAAAACAATGAACTTCAAATAGAATTGAATGTTATCCGGTGCAGAAAAAGAATAAAACAATGGTTTAAAACGAACACAGGTGCACTTCTTGAAAAGTGGTTCACATTAAAATTCCGGTCCAATGGAGGTCGACAATTCCTATCAACAAAAGACCAAAAAAATGTTCAGAGCAAACATGAGAGTACTTGCTCATTGGCATTGAATTTTAAACAAGAGTTTATTTACAAAGAGAAAATGTGCAAGAAATCCATCAAGAACTCAATGGCAAATGCACTCATTACGGAGTCAAAACAATGGTGTTGCAAGAAAATAAGTTCCGTTCAATTGAATCGAAGAGGACAGAGGTTTGACTTAATATTCAAGCTTATAAACATCTATGGAGCAATGGGAAAGCAATACCAATTTAATGTTGAATCTGAAACAGCCCAGAATTCAACAATATAGACTCTGCAATTCCCCAGTATTGAATAGAATTAAAACTCACTTTCCTTCGTGAGATATGTTGGAACTTTGAACAAGGGTCAAAGAATACCAACTCCAAGAGATATAAGACTAGGAAAATGAATGAGGTTGGAAGAAACAAGTGAATTCATTAACAAACTCAAAATTCAAAGCAATACAAGGATTGAGAAAAAGGACACATGTTGTTCTAAATCAATATACAAACAGAATAACACAAAGAACAGCATATATTCTAAAATTTATTATCTTTGTCCATACAATCTTTTCCTTTTCTGCATAGAGTTATTCGCCTTCCAAATTCCAATGATATAATTATTTATCCAAGCGAATAAAATCATACACCAAAAATACTGATTTATAGAAAAAGGTTGAACATTTACATATATCCCAGAACTCAAAATTCTTTTTTTTTCTTTTTTTAAACTTTATATCCAAAAAGTTAACTGGAGAAACAAGAACTCACTTGCAACTCCACAGTGATAGCAAGGCCCTTGCTTGCCCATGCCTTTCTCTTTTGCTCAAGGGGAAGGAAAATAATTTTTTTTAAAAAAAAAGAAATTTTGGAAACAACAAAGAGAAAAAAATAAGAAAAAATTATTATTGACAAAAACTTTGACTGAAAATTGAGAACTTTTTATATAAATTAGATTGGTTTCTTCAAGCTTTGTATGACATATTCAACTAGGTATTAAAGGCTTTTCTGCAACAACCCAGAAAGCTAGTTTAGTTTGTAGAACAAAGCAAAAGCCAAAAAATGAAAAATACCCAGAAGAGTTTTATGTCTTTTTTATCAGTCCAAGAGACATATCAAGAAAAAGCAATAAAACAAGCCAAAAAATCAAGAAGAAAGGAAAGATTTCCGAGATGGGTATTTGAGCTTGGAATCTGTACAATCCAATGAAGAGAAAAAAAAAAAAAAGGAAATGACTAATTGAGAGGAATCTAATAAATGGCCATGAAAAGAGGAAGATGAAATGGGAAGAAAGAGAAAGAGAGACAGTAGTGTGTCTTGTGTTTGTGTTGATATATGTCTTCTCTATGTAATTTTTATACAAGTAAAACATAAAACTATTCAGCTTTCTTTTGCATTTAGTCATTTATACCTCCATTTTTATTGATTTTTTAATTGATAAAAATTACAATTATATTATATTAAAAGAAAAAAAAATGAAAAATATTCAAAGAAGGGTAAGATAATGGGAATATTATTGTATATGTCATGTTGACTATAGACTTTTTCAGCTTTGTTGATGTCTATAAAAAATAATTTCTCACCAAAATAAAATTTTAAAAATAAATATTAAATAATGGTTAAAGAAAAAGAAAAGCCACCGTAAGACAACAAAAAAAAGGAGAAAGAAACAAAGAGAGTTTGTTTGGTTTCTTTCTTTTTCTTTCCTTTTGTTTTAATTATATTTTGGTAATTTAAGTATATTATTTATTTATTAATATTTTTGTTTGTGTATGTGATGACATGACGTTGATAATTTTTTTTAGTGGCTTTTTTTTAAAAGAATCAACCTAATCTCCACCGTCCCGTGTTGTGATCACCGTCACAATCCATTGTACACCGTCTGATGTAATTAAAAGCTTTGTCAAATTGGGTCCCACTTTAACATTTTTCTTTTGCTTTAGCTTTGTGTTTTAGTTAGATCTCTAATGGAGGAGGCTGTGACTCTTTGTTAAAAGCAAATGTCCAAATACAAATTCCCGTGAAAAAAAAAAAAAGGAAAAGAAACTCGAAATTTCCTTCTATAAAATGTTTTAAAATTATTTTCACTATTTATTTTATAAACATGAAAAAAAATAAAATTTGCTCCGTTAATTAAAAGCATTAGATAAGAAGAAGATGGTTTTGATCAAAAGGATTTTTACACAAAACCAACTGATAAGAAATCATGATACAAATCGGACGGCTGAAATTATCATTCAATCTTAGACTGAAACAAGGGATGGGTCAATTCGCCAAAATGTCGTACCAATGGCCAATTACTTTATTAATATTATCATTTTTATTATCTTTAATACGTGTCCTATACGTGTGTTCTAAGTGTACATTTCAAACTTTTTTAAATTTTATTTCATAAAATCTATTGATTCGGTCACTTAAATTTTTATATGGATCCGATCCATATTTTTTTAAAATTTTGGCTATTTTTTAATTAAAAAATAGTAGTACGAAGTTTATTTGAAAATTGCTTGTGACTGTTATATATATATTAATCACATTGCTTAGATAATTTGTTCTATGTAATTATAGGCAATACACAAGTAATATTTTTAATACTATTTAAAAATTTTAATTCTTTGTATAAAGAACAAAAGAATTAGTTAAATAAAAAAAGATTATAAATTTAAAAATTATTAAATATGTTATTTTTATAAAAAATTATAATATAAAATTAAAAAAATTTAACATAAAATATTATTTTTTTAAAATAATTATATAAATAAACTCAACTAAAATTTAAATTTACAGTATTTTTTATTTATTTAACTTTGCTCAGGTTAATTAAGTTTCCATTAAAAGAGTTAATAAAATGGGACCCAATTAGTAGTATCATTAACAAGAGCAGGAAGAGGGAGAAAGGAAGGAAAACTATTTCCTTGTATAAAATTAATAGTATTAAAAATAAAATTTAAAAAAAAAAAAAAGAAAGAAAGAAGAAAATTTAAATTTAAACTAAATATAAAATAGTAAAATCTGGGTCATGGGTGGGACCCAAGAAGAAGTCATAACTGCTGGTCCTGGATCGACCGGTTCTTCTCCTTCGCTCCTTTTAAACTAGCTTACTTCATAGACTGCTTTTGGGCAAGTATATTGTGTATCCACTCGTACCTTAACATTTATTTCCACTAGTAATTATATTACAACATTTATTCCAAAATTTAACTATAAATTATCTTTGATAAAAAAAAAGGAAGATATCAATCCTTAACGCAATTGAGTTCTGATTTTATATATATATAAAAAAAAGAAGCCGTCTTTAAGAGGGCAGAGCGACCTAATCTCCGTGTAACCAATGAATAAATTTCACTTTTTTTTTAATGGAAATAGATGTCCCAAAGCAAAAGCTATGTTGAATTTCCAGATTGGCCCCTGGTTTGATTTTTTTTTCTTCCCTTTTTCTACTGAAATTCCCAAATAATCCTTTCACCAACTACTGCACTGTTTAGTGCTAAATGCTAATGTTATGGTGGTACATCAAAAAAGTGTTCAAATGTGGTGTTTATGGTGTTGTCATTAGCACTAAAAAAGTGAGGTTTATCAGATAAATCCCTTTCCAACACTATCCTCGTTACCATTTTTTCTTTCTATTTTCCATTAATTTGGGGTCTAAAATATCGGATTTAATTTCCAAGCATGGAGATTAAAAGCTTTTTTTTATCGATTAACAATTTAGATTTTTCTATAAAATTAAAAATATAAATTATAATCATAATCAAGTATTACATATTTAAATAATCAATTAATTTAGATTTGATTAATCAATAATTATATGATTTATTAATAAAATATTAAATTTTTAATTTCAAATATAAAAAAATAAAAATAAAAAACTGCACTTTGATTGACTTAACACTTTTTTTTTTTTATGTGTCATGGACAACCATTTTGAATTGAATTAATCATTCAAAACAATCAAACTGACAACGAGAAAAGTACTACTATATTAGAAAAGTCTTTGGTGAAAATTAATAACTATTTTTTTATTAAAAAAAAAGTCGTAATATAAAAATAAAAATATATATATTATAAATGTTAAAATTTGAAAATTAATAACCATTTGCATAATATATAAGACCAAAAAAAGGGACATTGGTAGAGGCCAGTTGGTGGGATCTCTCTAATATGCTGTTTTGAGCTAAATTATGTGAGAAACAAGTCTATACATTAGGTGGTTTGATGTATCTAGCAATATAATATATAGTTTTTGGCCTCATATCCCCTCACTTTCTTCAATTTTTTTTTTTGTTTTTTTTTCTTTTTCAATAAAAAATCTTAGTTTCTGCACAATAAATGCAAAAATGGTCCAGATTTGTGGGTAATGGAACATGGGGATTGTCTCCAATTTTTGTATTATTATTACTGTATTCCTAAATGATAAGATATACATTGATGGGAAGGAATTCTGTAAGTGATGTTTACAGCCAAAGTTTAGTGGCTGTAACTTCAATGTTTCAAGTTTATATAAGTTATTATCTTATTTTACAAGTAAAAGCATGATTTAGATACAAATTATAAATTACCAAATACTTTGAACATTTTGTTTAATTAGTTAATTGTAATTGTTTGAATCTTTTTATTCGAAGAGTTGAGTTCGAATTTTTTATTTTTAAATAAAATATATATATATTAAAATTTTCATATTTAATTAAAATAATGTTATTTTGTTTTTAATAATAGGTTTTTAAACTTTCTGGTTATAGAAATTATAATGCGTTTAGTTTTTAATTTCTATTACTCCAAAATGTTTGATAAATTATTTCTAAAATTTTCAGTCCCCGTCCATCCTACGCCAAATCGGTGATCATGGACAAACTTTATGTAGAACCAAAAGATTGAAAAATAAAAAGCATTAGATTTCAATTCAACATTTTCCTACCCTGACACTTTCCAGTAAATCCGCAAGAAAATTTTGCATCCATTAACCTGGTATTATTATGTTAGCAAACAAAGCAACCTAGTTACATTGGCCTTTCATTGCCAACCACTGCTGAGAAAAGAAATCAAGTAGGCCCCGTGACTTACAATTCACAAATCCTTTGATCACACGTTCTAGGTCTCACAAACAGGTTTGTCAATCCATGTGTAATTTGACCACAACCCATGCTGTTTTAAAGTCTTATAATCTTTGAAAAACAGAGACACCCAATCCCAATATTGAGCATCGTGAGTGGTGAGTATTGGGCCAGCTGATGGCAATGGCACCCCACCTCTCAGGCTGAGCAGGAGCCACCATCCATTAGACAGGCGCCTTTGTTGTTGCATAATGGTTCACACCACTCTCATACCTACCTGGCGCCTATCAACCAATGCTCACCAAAAGCTTTCATTACAAAATTCATTTTTAGAGTCATGGACTGGAATACAGGTAAAGTTACAAAATTCTATAGTAATAATATTGAGGTTATATTTAGGTGGATAATAACTTGCAATTAAAAATTAAATAATAAAGTTAATTTAAAGTTTATTTTAATCTATTTATGTAATCACTTTTAATAAAAAACATAAAAAAATTTGAATTCAAATTTCGATACATATAATTTTTGTTATATTCTCAAACTGTTATCTTTTTTATAAAAAAATTTAATAATTAAGAAATAAATTAAAAATACAGAACAATGTATCCCACATAACCGTCCATTCAAACATAACCTCACAAATAAAAATATACAAAAAATTAATAATAATAATGGTTCTATTCTATTAGCTATGGACACCAGAAAGTGGAAAGTTTAGTTTTAGGCCGACTTGTAATACTATATTGTTAAAATAAAGTCATATTTGCACCATTCGCCAATTTGGAACAGCCTAGATGGGCTTACTTTCTTGAAAGGTACTTTGCATTGAATGTAGAAATAACAATACTTTATCTTTCTAATAATTTGCCCTTTTAATCAACCCTCTGTCCCCAAATTTGCCCAAGTGGCTTTAATGTTATTCACTCCCTTTCACTTGGTAAATATATTTTTCTTCTCTCTCAATAATACGCAAGTAATGATTAGAATTAATTAGAAAAAGACTCATGCAAGAATTTGGTTTGTATAGTCAATGTTACTTGGCATTTCATGAAAGGATTTCTTACTATTTTAAAACCTTTTTGAACCACATAATTAATATGGTTATATGAATTCTAAAACTGGGTTGTGATGCTTTACATTTATAATAAGGTTTTTGGTTGAATTTTGTTTCATTTTGTGCCTTTGATTTACATAGATATTCATTGAATTTCGTCTATACGAAGCCATCAATGGTCAAGCAAAATGAACTTTATCCGTTCTGTGATTCAAGTTCCTAAAACATTTGAATAAGTTGAAATTGGATGATAACACTAATCCAACCACCCAATTAGGCCTAAATGGGTGTGATTAAAAGTCAAGTGAAAGAAGCTTTGGTTATGTAAAATACGAATTCTAAGGAAAAAGATGAGTAAAAAACAACCAAAAACATAGATGGTGGGCTCTGATCAGGATTTGCAATTGACAAAACAAATGAGTATGGGACCAAAAAATAAGTTAGGAGTCAAAAATCTTTTCTTTTTTCATAAAGATATCCTTATGTTTAGCTTTAAAATCATGCACTAATCATGTAATTAGGCCTGTTTTGGGGGGGGGGGGGTACCCAATTGTGATACAACTTTTCTTTTAAAAAATGAAAAAGAAAGAAGTTTCCCACTTTTTTTTTCCTGTTCATAGTGGTGGAAAACAAAAGGCATTGAAATTCAGATTACCAAAGTAAAATTGAGAAATGGAAACCTTCCATGGGAAGATAAGTTGATTCCCTTTGGAATTTAGATACAGCAAGGACAGGCTGTTCCAAGCAAACCTCTGGGCCACCCTGAAATGCCCATTTGAAGAATGGGCCTTCCTTTTTCAACCAAGGCTGGGCCTTTTTTTTAAATTTTGAGTCAAAATTTGAGTTTGAATGTTAAGTTTTGATTGAAAATATTTAAATTTTTTATTTTATTTTATTTAAGTGAAGGCATAATCCTTACAAAGAGAAAATAGGAGAAGATTTTGGCTTGAAATCAAAATCTCTATATCTTCATAAAACCTCCTTAACCATTAAATCAAGAGGTGGAGGATCATATTTAAGTATTTAAAATGCCTAAATTATTCAATTTTCTTTGAAGGAATCATCAATTATGTAATATATATGTATAGTTTTCAAAGTAGACGAATTTGGGTATCTTTTATTAACTTTTTTTAATACAAAGTTTGGCTTTGTCTAATGTTACGCTGAGTTTGAAAGAATTATCATTTAAAATTAATATTGTTATTCTTCATTGACAACAACGTGAATTTCATTAGGAAACATCGGCTCATATGGTAATTTGCTGTCTGTATCTTTTTAGATGCTTTCTCTAACTTAAGGATTAAGGAAATTGAGGACATTTAGGTAATTTGAAACCCCTTTCTTCCAAGTACTAGAAGAGCTCTTTGTAATGATAATAAATTATGATAATAATAGCAATAACAATAATAATAATAAAAAAAAAACAAGAAAATGACATTTTTGCTTGTTGTTCATATCAGGCCAACCAAATAATAAGGTATAAGACTTTCATATAATGGTTTTTTATTTTACTTGGAGAAAAAGGATTCGAACTTTGTTAAAAAATAAAAGATTACGCATTAACTAATTGAATCGAATGCTTAAATGCATATAATGTTCTTTAATGATCTCTTCTATTCTCATTAACATCTTCTTTTTTTTTTTTATTATCATTCATGTTATTTTAATCATTGAAAAGTTCTAATAAATCTCTTTGCTTATCTTATTTTTTAAGTAGCTAAAGCTTGATCCATCAAAAGCTATGGTAGTATATTTTTGTATTAAATGATGATGTAGCACAATCCATTTACCATTTTTTTTTTCATTCTCCACAAATTCAACAACAGAAAAAAAAAAAGAAGAAAAAGGAAGAGATTTTCCTTGCTTTTCTTTGCGTTTACTGTCTCACGGGTTTGGCTTAGCCAGGGTGAGAATTTGTTTGTGAAGATGATAGATAGCCTTTTCTTTTTTTGATTGGGACATGGAGACCAATTCATGCAGTTTGGCGGTGGATTAGTTACGATAAAATGCCAAAATGTAGAGTCCAATGTGCTGATCTTTACTATAAAGTGGCTTGACAAAATATAATAAAATTTTCTTTTATGTCTAATTTTTTTTTGAGATATTGATATTATTTTTTTGTTCATATTAAAGCTTTGCCATTTTGATTTAGGCCCATATTGATTTTCTCTATCTAATGGAGTACTCGGGGGCTGGTACCTGGGTAAGTGTAGGTAAATTGAATGCTGAGACAGAATCTGAAGGGAATTGTATTGAACTGTGCCCTATTCCATCATTTTGATGTTTATTTTGTCCAATTTATTTATATTTTCTTTCTAACATTCTTTTCCTTGATAAGAGGGCTCTATGACATTTGTAGATTGCACTTCATAATTGGGCCAAAGCTGCCATATAAAATGATTTATTTTGTTATACCACTTGGGGCCTAAGCCTATCAAACGTAATAGCTTTGCCAACACCAGTCCACTAGCCGAATGATTTGCCAAAATCAGATAGTGGGTTATTTAGCCATGACTCATGAGCAAGCACTATCTGGCTGCTCGTCTATCATGTGAACGTGCACTCACGCAGCGGGCAACCCTCAAGGACTTGTCTCATGGCAACATGCCTGCACTGCGTGGGCCGGACTCGTGGCCCCGTTGCTTTAATGTTCCTGAGTAAAGCCACAATTATAACGTCATGGCACTTCAAAAGTTTTCTTTGTTTCCATTTTTTGCTAATGCTGCAAAGTCCGAAGAAGACGTGTAGGTATTTCTAACACACTCAAGTTCTAAAAATTAATCATAGGTTACCAAAGTGCTACAATAAGTCTCAAATCAATTCAGATTGCTCCTTCAGAAAAAGTTGCAAAGCACATTAATTTACCTTATAACAGCAGGAGTACAAATTCACTGTCTTTATCTATGGTAACTGCCACAGCAAAACATCTCAATCCAAGACATAGCATTCATAGCGATGATTATATTTCAGAACTATACTAGCACAAAGAAAATTTATAGAAATTGATGACACTGTGGCAGCAACTACAGTCTAAGCTCCCTCGTTGACTTTGAACTTAGACGAAGAGGCCAAAAGAACCAAGGCCAATCTAATCTCCGCTCACACAGCCTCTACATCCACAATGCACACATTCAATAACCTTTTCTTCCCTCAAGTGTTTGGGCACACGGCAGACACAAGTTGTAGCAAAGTTGTGATCCCGTGGCTGCATGCATCTCAAGCAACACAAACGTTCATAACCTGGCTGCAAAAAGTAAAAAAAGAAACCATAAAGATCTACTACTACAAGATTAAATTAAAGAATCAGAAAGATTGAAAGCAAAAGAGAGAAGGATAAAGGGAATATACAAGCGTGTGGTGTGATATATGAACGTATCTATAGACACACATGCATTCTATATATGACTTCCAAAATTTCACATAAAGTAACCCTTAATACGAAATAATTAACTAAATAATTAAACACTACGAGTCTATGCCTTGACAGATATGCCTAATTATCTGTGACCACATCAATTCAAGAAAGACAGTAAGATACTATATTTGCCAACATTTGTCTATATCCAAGGCTTCTTTCTGAGTTCTGATTGCTCAAGAACAAATATGTTAATCATGAAAGTCTCATATGAGTAAAAAATCAGATTGGAGAACACTTTGTGCTAGTGAGTAAACATATGGAGGGAGCAGAGACAAACCTTCTTCCACTTCGCAATAAGATTGCGGTCAGCATAGCCTTGGTCCAAACAGAACTCATACAATTCCTTAGATATTTCCTGCCTCCGGTAGTAAAGGTCAAAAATATAGCGGCTCTTCTGATGCGCTATTTTGAAAATAGGCCACAATGTCTCACATTTTCTCTTACCATCGTGAGGATCATTCTCAGCTGTCGAAAGCGTAGATAATTAGTTCAACACATTAAGATGGATTCAAGAATCAAGTAGAGCATACATGATGCAGAAAAAAACCCACCTTCTCTCATCTTTGCTTGTAGCTCACGAAGCGTAGGCTCAATCAATTCCCATCCTTCTGGATATTTCACACGGTTTGTCTTCACCTTCGGCATTGTTCTACCTGTCATCATCAATGCCCATTATAAATTACAACCACATCATGCCACAAACCCTAGAATCAATTTAAGTGAAACAGAACTTCCCCAAATTGAAGAGGAAATTTCTATAGGAATAAGGCAGATTCCTTGCTTGCATTACCCTAAATTCAACTTTTAGTTGTTTACCCTATTTTTCTTAGGGGTTGCCATGAAAGAATTCGATTGAATGAACACGAAAGGCACAGATGAGAGCAAATGCTAAATTCAAAAAGGAATCAAGCTTTTTTCCTTTCAATTTTATTTTAATTTCAAAAAGGCAAAGTTTATGCAAGGTATCAAAGGAGAGAAAGAACTCAATGCACCTGTCAAGTACGGAGTTTGGGATGCGAGAAAGAGGATGAGGCGAATAGTTAATCAATCTTGGACAGAAGCCGATCTGGGTCGGTTGCGTCACGAATCGGGATTTTAGATAGACCTATGTCGGTTTACGCCGCGGCTGTCGATGGCGGTTTTGGGCTTTGATTTTGCGGTGTTGGGATGGACAAGCTGCGCCTGCTGACGTGAAGTGAAACAAAGAGAGGGGATCCACCACACGCGCAGCAATTGTAAGTAAAAGGAAGAGTTGGCGTGTCTTGGAATTGTATAATGATTAATGGTAAGTGCTCTAAACGACATCGTTTCGGTTTCAACATTTCTAAGAGCCTCAATTCTTCAATCTTTTCTCTCAATAAACACGTACAAACAAACCCAAAGAGGAGAAAAAAAAAAAAAGAAGAAGGTGCTGATGGAATCAATTTTGACGATTATTTTATCTCGTTTGAGCATGTTGACTGCTGCTTCAGGTGGCATCCTGGTAACTTTGGTTTGTGCTTGGTTGATGATTATTTGTAATGTTTCAGCGTCAGCTTTCTCAAGCAAGGCCAGTTTCTGCAGTGTTGCCACCATTTCTTTCATTGTCTTCTCTTCTCCTTCAAGCTGGATTTTCATTATCATCTCAACTTCCTAGTCTATTGGTTTGAAGTACAAGTACAAGTACTCATCAATGGCAGCTCCCTGAACGTAAACAATATCGTTATGAATAACGAAAATTATTCTGAAATAGACATATAAGGAAATAAAAAATGCCTCATAATTCAGAAACTACCAGTGGAATGATTCCCATCATGATATGTGCTTCTGTGAAATACCACGTAGGCAGTATTTGGACAAAAGTGATCATTAGATTTTTTATGGGAGGTTTCAATAGTTTTAGTTAGACAGGATCTGAAACTTGCAATGGAACGGCACATGACCAAGCAAGGAACAGATAATCTAAAGACTTGAGCCTTTATTGGATTTTAACTTTGATTAAATCAACCATAATGGGTCGAACATGCAAGAAATTTTGTCTTATCGAACTTCAAAATTACAAGCTTACTAACATATATTCTACAAGAAAAATATCACGAAGCAACAGTGGCAGGAACCTCACAAATGGATGTTTTTCTTTACAACTTGAGCAATGAAAAGTCACACAAGTTAAAGCTCTTTGGTTCATTTTCCTCACCGATGAATAGAGGTTATAAATGGCAACACTGAATTAAAAAAAAAAAAGTGATTAAAAGAGCTTCAAAAATCAACTATATGCAAATTTTAGGTTGCAAAAGCTGTAATTTTGCGGTGCCTTCCTTTCTTGTGCCTGCAAAAATGAAGAGAGAAAAAGACAGCTAACATTAGGATTTTGGGACAACAAGTTCCATAGATACAATCTGCAGACAGTGTCTACTTTAGTCCTAAATTTCTGAGAAAATTCTTTTCAGTTACATATATATATATATATATATATATATAGAGAGAGAGAGAGAGAGAGAGAGAGAGAGAGAGAGAGAGAGTGCTTTGAAATTTCTTTGACAGAAAAAGGGTCCAAATTTCTCTTGATAAAATTTCCCATGAAATTATTCAAACACTAGAAAATCAAAAGACAAGTAGTTCTCTTCTTCTTTTTCAAACTATTTTGTATCCAAAATTAGAAAATATAATCTTGCTGGAATTAAACATTTTTTTTTGCATCTTATGAATTTTACATTTGTAAATTAATTTTATTCAAACATCATCATCAGAATCACTATTAATGATAAATTACATATGTGATAAAATAATCTTTAATTGCTCCTAAACATTTGACTCAATGATTGATATATGATCTTTTATTTCAAGAATCTAATTTGAATTTTCTTTTTTCAAATCAAAATAATAAGAATAATAATAACCTTTAAATAATAAGCTTTATATATTAATTTGAAAAACAAAGATTCAAACTTTACTCTTTAAGTATGAGATCATATATCGATTAATTAACATAAATGATTGAGTATGGTAAGTTCGTATTTGAACACTGTATAATGGTTGCGACATGAGGCAAGGTAAAACATTAACCAATAGATCCTTTCGAATTCCTATGCCGCACCTATCACACAATATTAAAATAGAGTTTTCTCTTGCTAATCATCAAAATACATCGTTAAAACCTTTAATATTATTAGCTTTGTATTTGAACACTGTGTAATGCTTGTGGCATAAGCACGAGCAGGTAAATTATTAAAATCCCTTATACCACATGCATTACACAGTATTAAAATAAAGCTTTCTCTTGCTGATCATCAAAATACGCCGTAGAGTCCTTGAATGGTATTAGCTCTTTATTTGAACACTGTGCAATGCATGCGGTATAGAAGCGAGCGAGTAAATTATGCATATAAAACCTATTTTGAATCCCTTATACCACATACACTGCACAGTATTAAAATAGATCGCTTTCTCTTGCTATCATCAAAATATGTTGCAGAATTCTTGAATGGTATTAGCTCTATATTTGAATACTGTGTAATGCTTGTGGCATAAGAGTGAGCAGGTAAATTATCATATAAAACCTACTTTAAATCTCTTATACCACATGCATTGCACAATATTAAAAGAGAGCTTTTTTCTTAGTTTTTTTTTTTTCACTCTTGATAATGCAGGAGAGACCTCTGGCCTGGAGCAATTTATAGCCAATGGGACTGCCAACTAGTGCCCATCCTTTCCTTAAATGCCCAATTCTAAAATGGGGAAGTATTTTGAAATTCATGGTTAAGAATCCCAGGACCACTATTTTTTGCAACTAAATAAATGTGTCAAACAAACCTGCATGCATGGCACCAGCTGGTTCTGAGGAAATATGCTAGAAAATATTTAATCATTTTGCTATTTATAATTTTCAAAAAAGGAAGGTAATCTGCTATGAATTGTCTGTCATTTTACAATGATTTGATTATAGGAATTAATGATTCCTGGTTTTTTAGTGCAAAAATGACAAGAACAATATATAATACAACTGCAAAAAAATATTATTCTAGGTAAAATGATCTTGTGGGTTTTAGGGACACGTTATATTGTACTTCAGAATCTTAAACATTCTTTCACCAACTATTTGATGAAAGAATGATGGAGATTAATAGATTGAATTACAATTAACTATTTATTAGTACTTTTAAAAGATTTTACTAACTGAATTAACGTCTCAAAAGAAAAAATAAAATTAATATGTTTTTATTAACTAAATTAACGGCTCTAACGGAAAAAATAAATATATACTAAAATTTAAATAAAAATACATGGATACATAAATGGAACCAATTAATTTAAAAATTATTGCATATAAAGTTAATATCTAGTCTCCTAACTCATAAAAATGCAGACAAATGATTTCAACATTGAAACATTAGTTAGTTTTGAAACAAATTTTAGTATGATATATAAAAGACTATATGGTCGAGAAACTGGCCAATATTCACTGGTTTGATTCTTTTATATATATATATATATATATATATATATAAACATATTTGGATTAGTTTTTATTTTCATTTTTTATCACTTTATCATATCACATTATTTGTGATTCTTTCAGATTCGGCTTTCTCAAGCAAGGCCAGTTTCTGCAGTGTTCCCACCATTTCTTTCATTGTCTTCTCTTCTCCTTCAAGCTGGATTTTCATTATCATCTCAACATCCTGGTCTAATGGTTTGAAGTATTCAAAAATGGCAGCTTCCTGAACTTAAACAATTTCGTTATGAATAACGAAAATCATTTGAAATTGATATATAAGGAAAACAAAAATGCCTCAGAATTCAGAAACTACCAGTGGAATGATTCCCTTCATGATATGTGCCTCAGTGAAATATCACTTACGCAGTATTTAGACAAAAGTGACCATTACATTTTTTATGGGAGGTTTCAACAGTTTGAGTTGATCAAAGTCTGGAAGTAGGGATCTGAGCCTCGCAATGGAAGGGCACGTGACCAAGCAAGGAACACATAATCTAATAACTTGAGTCTTTATTGGATTTTAACTTTGACAAAATCAACCATAATGGGTCAAACATATATACAAGAAATTTTGTCTTATCGATCTTCAAAATTTCAAGCTTACTAACATATATTCTACAAGAAAAATATCACAAAGCAAAAGTGGCATGAACACCACAAATGGATGTTTTTCTTTACAACTTGAGCAACGAAAAATCACACAAGTTAAAGCTCTTTGGTTCATTTTCCTAACCGATGAATGGAGGTTACAAATGGCAGCACTGAATTAAAAAAAAAAAGTTAATAAAAGAACTTCAAAAATCAACTATATGCAAATTTTAGGCTGCAAAATCTGTAATTTTGCAGTGCTTTTCTTGTGCCTGCAGAAATGAAAAGAGAAAAGATAGCTAACATTAGGATTTTGGGACAACAAGTTCCATAGACACAATCTGCAGACAATGTCTACTTTAACTTTAGTCTTTAAATCTCGAAATCAAGATAATAAAATAGATATAAGTTAACTTTCCCAAGTTTATATGCATATTAGAACATACCCTTTTCAACTACAAACTCGATGCAGTCACCTCATTGCCTAAATAATGCTTCTTCACCATTCACACAATCCTAAATTTTTGAGAAAAATTCTTTTGAGTTACATATTTTAGGAAGTAAAAATCATAACATACTCAAAAACTTTGTGATATTATAAGCGATTAAGAGCAGCTGCAAACAATATATGTTTAGAAGAGAGCAAGGCAATTTCCATGTTCAATGTCAAAGTTGTCATCAAAATATAGCTTTAGGTCCATAAATATATAGCAATTAAGAACAAAAAAAAGAAAATAAAAGAGTAATAAAAGGTGAGTAAAGAAAGTGAAAGACCTATTACAGACGTTTCTCGAGCTGCAATCATATTCGGAAAGAACCCTCACATAGAACAATGTTTTCTTCCAAAATCTCTCAGTTTGTCCATTCAATTTCTTGATATTGATATATATATATAGATTACTTTAGAAGGTTAAAATTTCTTTGACAGAAAAAATTAAGGACCAAATTTCTCTAAATAAAATTTACCAAGAAATTATTAAACCATTAAAAAAAAACAAAGGACAAGTAGTTCTCTTCTTCTTTTTCAATTTATTTTGTAACCAAAATTAAAAAAATATGATCTTGCTCGAACTATACATTTTTTTGCATCTTATAAATTTTGTACTTACAGATTAATTTATTCAAATATCATTATCATTTTAATATAATCGTTGCTAATCATATATTACATGCGTGATAAAATAATTTTTA